AATGGTTTTTCCACTGGTACAAGTCACTGAACTGCGTTGTGGTGGAGTCCTGCCTGCAGAAGTTCAGGGCTTGCAGGAGAGAGGGGAGCTGTTGCTCTCATCGAAGGTAGTGTTTTATGTTGGCTAACCAGGCACCTGAAGCTGTGGATTGAGGATCAACTTTATGTAGGCTTTATGGAGGAGGGGATGTAGGTAATGTGATGTAATAGTGCTTCCACTGATTCTCGGCTTCAGTTCATTAGTGTCCAGTCACCTAAAAATGTGACTTTTGGTTTTGGGGTTTTTGTCATTGTTTGCCTTTTAAATTAGTAGAGGTCAAGCTGGACATGACAATAGAGCGATTTCCTGGAGTTGAATTTTGTGCTTGGATCAAAACCTGGAGCAACTCAGTCAGGGAGACTGATGGAAGGGAATAGACTTTGCCCTCAACCTCTCCCTGTTTCCTTAGCTTTGTTGCTGAGATGTAGTTGGAGAAGATTATGATCACACAAACTGTCAGGAATGATGAAATTGCGTTTGGGGGGGGTTGGCTTGTTTTGTTTAAGTCCTATGCTGTTACTTGTATGTCACTGTGCAACCAGGTAGCCATAATAGCTCTTTCAGAGTGCATCTGTTACCATATTTAATATATTTTGTGGATGTTCTGTGTTAGCAGAGTATCTGGACCTGTCTGGCTGGCTTGCAGCTTTTTTTGGGGGTGTTGGTTTGGTTTGGTTTTTCTTCCCAGTCATGGCTACACCACTCCTTAATGGTCACAAACCTTTCAAAGGTGAAAACCAGCCCCTGCACCTTGCAACCTCACCTTTAGATGTTTTGGTTTTTACAGAAATGAAAGGCTGTGAATAGCAAATCCAGAATTTCTAAGGCTGATGATGCCCTTGCATGCCTATGAGAAGAGTATCTCCTAGAGGAGACTTTAAGCTGCAGCTGCTAGGAGCTGAGTCTGCTCCCTAAGCAGGGCTGGCTACAGCAGAGGCAGGCAATGAAGGAGGAGATGTGTCTTCAAGGAACGATTCAGAACCTTGCAAGCTCCTGCTGTCAGACCTGCCCTAACAGCCTATGACTTGTTTTTCATTGCTGTTTCAAGTTCAGCAGGAGGTATGGTGTATTCCAGGACTGAGGGGCTGGTTTAGTCCATTGCACTGTATCTTTTTTTCTCTAACCAACTTGTTTTCTGTACTGTCATATGCATTTTTACCCTAATAACAGAATGCTAATGCATGGTACAACTTCTTTATACAAAGATTTAAGGGGTGTTTTTTGGTTCTTTTAATGGGAGAGATTTCATTTCATAATCGGTGTTGTGTGTTGGAAGCAAATGACGTTTGTAAAACAGTGAGGGACGCCGGGTGTGTGCAGTTAATGCTGCCATTAGCTGAGCCCCAGTTCTGCTGATGCTCAGTTGCACTTGGAAACTCCACTGGTTTTCTTTCTTCCTTTGAAGCACTCTCAATCCTACTTGATATAGTCTCCTCTTATTCCCTGCCCCATCTATGTCGTTTTGTCTAAATGCCAGAAAAGTTCATGTTGGGAACAGCCAAGTTATGCTTAAATTCTGTTTACAAGTGTTTTTTTTGTTTGTTCCTCCCATGCATGTATTGGGCAGGGGGATTGATCTCATTTCTAGACTGCACTTTACTGGGGCTACTTCTTTTGTATTTGCAGATGTCCAGCTTTGTAGTTTGCATCAGCTTTCTAAAACACCACTGGGATCTGCTCTTGAGGTGGATCCTGTGTTCATGGAGGGGAATTTGATCAGGTAAAGAGTCACGGGCTACAGCAGTCTAAATAAACTTCACTTGTTCTGATTGTTCTAATTTGTAGGCTTCCAGAGGTGAGGATGTGTCCTGAAATAAAGTGGGATATTGCAGTTCCTCCACAGTGAGATTAAGACACTTAAGATAATCCAGGACCTTTAGTAAGATGGTGAGACAGACCTTCACAGCCTTGTTCTGTTGTTTAATAACCATCCTGCCTCTGAGTTTTCAACTTGATGTTTGTATGGCTGTCTTTTGAGCACTGCCACCACCGTCTGTTGGGGCTGAAGTGAGCTAACATAGGAAAGATCTCATATAGATGTTAGGAATTTCCACAGGGAATGCTCCATTTTTTTCCAAGTTTCATTTGAAGAGTGCTATGATCCTGTTAAATTAGGAAATAATTTTTTTCAGTAAAGCTGTTTAAAATGTTGCTTGCATGAAGGAGAAGATCATAACGTAGGGAACTGGGTTGTGTAGGTGAGACTTCTTGATTGTTTTTTGATCTCTGATCTCCTTGAAGGGATAAAAGAGGCATATCTATTATATACACACATCCCTCTGAAAGTAACTGATTAAAACACAAGTCTGGCAATATTGAATCGTATCACAGGTCCATCTAGGCCAGTATCCTGTCCTAACTTGGCCAAGAGGGGTATCTAGGGTAGAGAATAAGAGTAGGGAAAGCACATAAAATGACTCTGCAGAATGCTTTTGCCACCTTCAGTTATTTGCAAATTGAAGCTTCCTAAGCTAAAGATGGAATATTTGTATGTCTGTTAATGGATTTTTCTATTATTATTTTTAGTGAATTTGTGAAGTCACTTTTTGAATCTATGTAAGCTTTTAGCATCTGCAGTGAAGAATTCTTCAGCTTAACAACTTGTATGAAGTTACTTTTGCTTGGTCTGGTTTGTCTCCTGATGAATACACGTGTGAACAAGCCATTTGATGTAAGAATCTGCCACACTAACTGCAACCTCAGGCCTTGCACTGAAATTCCTGCAGGCTTTCCTCTGAAGTTTGTTACGGTTGCCTATCCAGGTCATGCTTCTCTGCCCGGCCTTGATTTTCATGTTGGCTAAATCATAGAATCCCAGACTGGTTTGGGTTGGAAGGGACCTTAAACCTTATCCAGTTCCAACCCCTGCCACAGGCAGGGACATCTTCCACTAGACCAGGTTGCTCCAAGCCCCTGTGTCCAACCTGGCCTTGAACACTGCCAGGGATGGGGCAGCCACAGCTTCTCTGGGCACCCTGTGCCAGGGCCTCAGCACCCTCACAGGGAAGAATTTCTTCCTAATGTCTCATCTCAGTCTCCCCTCTGTCAGGTTAAAGCCATTCCCCCTTGTCCTGTGCCTATAGGCCCTTGTCAAAAGCCCCTCTTGAGGTTTCTTCTAGGCTCCTATAGGTATTAGAAGACTGTTATATGGTCTCCCCAGAGCCTTCTCCAGGCTATGGTGCATCAGGTTTTTGTAAGGTGCCTTAAAAATAAGGAGACCATTTACCTGTGGGTGCTATTGCCTGGAACTACCTTGATGCCACACAGAAGGAGGAGCTAGTAGCCATCGTGTCAGAGTTCATAGTAGGGATTACTAACCTGTTTAAGCATGGGGGGGTGTTAGATTTCTTTCTTTTTCAAGGTTAAGACTAAATTTATGAAACTCTAAAGATTCTCCAGTATGAGCTGGAAGAGATGGCAGTATGCAAGAGCTCATTTCACACTTCATGCTGAGGTTGGCCAAGAGATGGGATTTGGTCCTGTTGTCACTGTTTCTTTCTCACAGCTGCTTTCATTTCTGCTTCAATTCCTATTCCTAGGAAGTCAGTTTTAGTCTCTTAGGATTGCTCAGCTCTCTTGCCTGTTTTCATGGTACAGTTATTTCTTGACAACCTGTACATTTCCTACAGGAAAGGACAGCCTGAAAGTTCTTGTCTTCTCAGTCGCTATCTTCAAAATGATGCATCTTTACATTTTTATGGTCTGTACATTTTAAAGCCAAGAGTGATGCAGATACGTCAAAGCTATATGCTTGGTCAGCCTTTGAATCAGGAGCAGCTTTATTGAGTTGGAGAGCTAGACTCCTTCCATCTCTCCTCCAGTTACCTTTAACATCAGTTAATATTTAACATGGATAACTTATGTTCTTTGCTGTGTGTTGGGGAGGAGGTGATAGTGCTTCACCTTTTCCGCACTGACCATTCTTCCCCACCTTCTTTCTGTAGCTACATGAGCCAACCCAGCTCTAGCAGGGGACTGGCTGCAGGCTTTGATGTTAGTCAAATGATATTGACACTGTATTTTATTGATTTAGAAAGTATTACAGTAATGCATAAGTTAAAAGCATAATTTAAATGTGCTATTTATTCTGCACAAAGGTAATTTCATCCTTTTTGCCCTCAGGAAAAAACTTTTGATATGTTAACACTGCTTTGTGCTGCTACTGTGATCTAAACCAGCTTGAAATTTGTCTCAAGCTGTAATTCAGTTGCCTATTGGTATGGCTGGTTTGTTTTCACCCTGGCTATACCAGAGCATATCCGTAAGCTTACGTCTGTAATTCCCCATTGCCAAATGGCTGCAGTTAATGGGAGTGCCAAGGAGGATTTTGATCTGTTCCAAAGCCAGTGAAAATGTGACTCCTTTAAATAACAAACCCATTCTCTACTTTGTACACATGTACTGTAACACTGATAAAGGAGCATGGAATAGTGCACCAGGGAAAGCAGCTCTAGCTTGGATAGTGCTCACAGACTTTCATGGTGTGTTTCCCCTCTGAAGTGACTCCTTAGGATTACTTTCCACCAGCAGTCACTAGACTTGAAATCATAGAATCAAAATAATTAGAGTTGGAAAGGACCTAAGATCATCCAGTTCCAACCTGCATCCATGGGCAGGGACACCTCCCACTAAACCATGTCACCCAAGGTTCTGTTCAGCCTGGCCTTGAACACTGCCAGGGATGGAGCGTTTACCACTTCTCTGGGCAACCTGTGCCAGTGCCTCACCACACTCACAGTGAAGAACTTCTTTGCTATATCTAACCTGAACTTCCCCTGTTTAAGTTTAAACCCATTGCCCCTTGTCATATTGCTAGTGTCCCTGATGAAGAGAATCGCTAATGTGTACATTGTGCATCATACACACTTTTGGGTGTATCTGCTTCCAAATGGAAAAATCATGGCAGATTTCTTCTGGAGAACTCCTAGACTTCCATATATCTGTTTGCTGCTACTATCACTTCACATCCTGGATCTCAGGCTGCCTTTGTATCCCTTGCAGTCCAGAGCCTGCATTGAGCTGTACTTGTCGTTATGAAGTGATGCCAAAAGACTTGGAAGAATAGGGATGCGATACATGCCTCTGTACCAGTGTGTTAACATTGAGGGCTTGGGACAGGCTGTAAATGACTTTTCTTTAAGTAACAGGGAAAAAGCTATCCTTAAAAGACATTTTGGCAAGGGTTCTCTCTCCTGTGCAGCCTGCAGGGAGCTGCACTGCATATGCAAAACTTGCTGGTAGCTTAGTGTTGCTCAGTTCAAGCATTCTGGTGGATGTAAAGTAGCCTGGACATGGCATTAGGCTGACTCATTAGGAGGAAGAAGCACCAACATCGCTGCCAGACACAGCAGGTACTTTCTCATTGGAGAGCTTTGCAGTTTCTTCCTTCAGTACCTGGAGCCTGAAAGGGCTGCCACAGGTGCAGAACTCTTTCTATGAGAATTGAGAGTGGTTTGCATCACTTTTCTTCTGAATTTCTTTACTATTTATTTTCTTCTTCTATCATTTTGATTGTCCTTTAGCAGATGTCAGATTATTTGAACGTTTCTCAGCAGCCCTCTTACTGCATTACTCTGCTGCTCCTTTATTCCGTGTAGTTACCTTCTATATCTAGAATGAAATCATCTTTTGTGAACATCTTTTGAGACGATCTCTCTGAGACGACGTTTGATCATCCTCCGTCTTGCGCTTCTGACGTACTTCTGTCTGCTGCTTCTTTGTGCACGTTACATGCTGGTCACTTTCTATCCTTCTTTCTCAGCCCTTTTATTGCTAGGGAATGAGCACTTGCTTTGAGCTCCTAATTCACTGGTGAATTGTTCCTTTTTTCGGGGCCTGGAGAAGTGTAGTAGTTGAACGACCAGCTCCAATCTTCTTTTTTATCTGATTTGGCATTTATGTTGTGAATCTGATTTAAGTTTGCAGTCAGTGCTACAGTAATATGCATTTTTAGGAAGGAAAATGCTTCATATTTGGGGGGAAGGACAACAGAACTGCCAGGAAAGCTTAATAAAGGGTCCATACTTAAAAGGTCTGGCCTACTTCTAAAGTCAGAAGAATACCTTACAAGAAGAGATGAAATGCATTAGGAAGATCTTATTAGTCCTGTTTCAATTCAGTCTCTTCCAGGAAAGTGGAGCTAGTGTGTAGCTGAAAGTCATTTTTGTAGAAGAATTGTAACCAAAAAACCCTCAAAACAAAATTAATTTGCAGCATAAGCTGCCTGGAGCTCCCTCTAAAAGCAGGGAAAAGGGGTGTGAGGTAGAACACAAACCCATAGGAACAAGATATATCTCTGTATTTTAACTTGATCCATTTTAGCATTGTGTGTATGCTCTGAGGAAGACTAATTCATACATGGCTGAAGCCCTTTCTAACCATCCCTGTCTTCTTTGCTTGGCTCTTCATCACAGTGAGACTGTCTGTAATCCTTGCTCTGTAAAGGTCCTTCTACCCTGTTCAGATGCTTTTAGGCTTATTGAATGTAATACCTGGCAAACCTTTCTGATTTGTGTTGGATGTCGTCCAGTGGAAACCATAAAAAGTGCCTATGCAGCAGCTGCTCTGTGAAGCAAGACCTTTTTGCCTGGTAACGAGAACAGCTCTTGCAGCATTTGGCATTAGATTCTCTCTGACTTGTTGGCTGTCAGGCCCAAGAGCACTGGAGTCCTGCATGGTATGGTCGGTAATTGTCACCCTTTTAGTTTGTGCTGCTACCTTGAAGCATGGTTGTGTCTGCCCAGTTTATGCATGGAGTGAGCTCAGGTGTTTGCAAGGTGAGTTTGCCTTCTTTCCTAAGAGGCTGGATCTGATCATGAGCAAAACGTGTGAAAGTGTAGCATGTGCTTCTGCAGTGACCTGTACTAATGTTGTCATTCATTCCCTCTCCCCCTTTCTTCCCCCAGATAAATGGCTCATTTAAATTGGGAGCTACTAAAATACTCTCTGGCTGGCAAATGCAGTGCCTAGCAGCAGTCATCAAGGACGAACCAAACATGAGTGGAGGAGGCGAACAGGTCGACATTCTTCCGGCCAATTACGTGGTCAAAGATCGCTGGAAAGTGGTGAGTAGCTCCAGCTTTGTGCTTCCTTTGGTGGCCCAAACACATCTTCTCCTACTGCAGTAGGGTAGGAACTTGCCTAGTTAATGCTGGTCTTTGGGAAGTGATGGAGAAGGGGTACGGTGTTCAAGAAGATGGTTAATACTGCTCTAGTGTTTTTTAGACTGGTATTTTGAGAAGTCTAAACCTGCTGAGGGTTTTTAGGTGGGATTGAGCTCTTACAGCAGGCTGAGTCACCTTTGATTAAGAAACTTAGATTTTTGAGTTACTGTGGCAAAGAATACAGGCATGCCTGTAAAGTAAGTTGCATTACAATAATCGAAAAGCAAATGTTTAAGGTTGGAATGTCACCTACTTCAAAAGTCAGGGACAACTTCCACGTCAATTTGGTTGGCCACTTCTTAGAATATCATCACCACATGTTAAGAGTCTTAGTTCTTCAATGGGAGAGTTGTCTAATCTCTTGTGCAAGCTGGATGTGGTACACTGAATTAGCAGCCATTTTATCTTTTATGTATTCATTGTATGGCTCCAGATCTCAGAATCCACTTAAATTCATGATGTGAATTTGCCATTTAAACTCAGCTCTGTTTCTTACCACTGTAGTGTGTGTTATATATATATATATATAGGTGGGTTTATTCATGCTTTTACCAGGTAACACGAGAGAACTGTTAGCTTGCTTTTGCAGCTAGGATTTCAAATTGAGTTAGATCTTGATTTTTGTTGTTTCTTACAGACTGCTTAATATTTATGACCAAAGCACAACCACACTAGACATCATGAGCATCTAACCATCATGCTCATCACTCCTATAGATTGGACCTGGCTGTCTTGCCTTAGGCACCCAGCAGATGAGTATGTGATTAATGATGGCTTGTGAGCAGAGGCTTGAGCAGCTTGACCAGAGTCATGCAAGAATGCTGTGGAAGAGACATGGGGAAAATCTCATCCTCTGGGCATGTTTCATTGCCACCAAATTTGTTTAGAGGATGCAGTGCTTCTTATGCATAAGGCTTTCTCTTTAGTCCTAAAGTGAGGTCTCTGGCATGGAAGGGAAGTAGCATTACATTATCACCTCAGTTAAAGAAATTGGAATATCACACATAAAAAGATCATTTACCTTTATACTCCTTTACATTCTGCATGTGTTTTGTGAATTTTTTTGTCTTCTGGCTTTAAAAGCTTTGCTTTTAAAAAGCTGAAAACACTGTAAATCCCGTGTGTGCCATCGTGTCCATTTTTAGCTTGGGTTACCAGCAGTGTCTGAATCATTAAACTCCCAGCAGACACCTTCCTAGTTTGGACTAAGTGATTTGTAGTAGTAGCACTAAGACATTTCTTTGTGCTAACTAGCTGTGGTGCAGCTCTGCAGTGAGCTGTAGAAGAGCAGAGGACTGGAGAGACTCAGGCCTTTGAACTCCTTCGCTTCCAAGCTGCGGGTGTTATTTTCAACAGCCCACTTCAGGCAACTTACTATCCTTTTGTTAGGCTTGCCTCCAGCCTGTATCTCTTTGGTGCCCTGGACAGTTCCACCTGGCTCTGTTCTTGTTACTCACCCATTGCCTCCCTCTCTTCTTTGTTTTTTGGAAACTGCAGAATGCTTAAAAGCACCAAAATCTTAAAATAAAGCCTAAAATAGGCTCAGTTATGGTCATAGGGGAATATTTCAAACTACTTTTGTTTGGTGGAGGCACTAACTGTGGGATTTGGTGACTTCACTGCTGCATGAATCTGTGACTGGGGAATGCTAGAAGCTGTATGCACTGGTTCTGCCTTAGAAAATACAGGAGTGTGCAGTCAAAACCAGCTACCTCTAACTGGAGAAATTCCCTCACAGGGAAGAATTTCTTCCTAGTGTCTTATCTCAGTCTCCCCTCTGTCAGGTGAAAGCCATTCCCCCTTGTCCTGTCCCTACATGCCCTTGTGAAAAGCCCCTCTCCAGGTTTCTTGTCAGCCCTTTTAGGCACTGGAAACTGCTCTAAAGTGTCCCCGAAGCCTTCTCTTCTCCAGGCTGAACAAGCCGAGCTCTCTCAACCTGGCTCCAGAGCAGACGTGCTGCAGCCCTCAGAGGATCTCTGTGGCCTCCTCTGAACTCACTCCAACAGCTCCACGTCCCTCTTACATTGTTGCCCCAGAGCTGGACACAGGACTGCAGGGGGGAAGAATCCCCTCCCTTGACCTGCAGGTCACACTGCTGGGGTTGCAGCCAGCACACAGTTGATTTCTGCTGTAAGCACATAGAATTCCTCAAGGGCACTTTATCATAGACCTTTCTGAATCTAATCCATAGCCTGCAAGCTGGACAGTACAAGCTTTGCTGTGAGTGATGGCTACTGATCAAGCAGGTGTGTGGCAGTTACGTGATGCTGGGGTTCAGCTGCCAGCAGGTTTCTTGTGTAATTTGTCTTCCCATTGTGACTGTCTCTGGCTGGGCATCTGCTTGGACCTTGTAGTTCTTAGTGCTGGCATTCTTCCAGTATTGAGCCAATTTCTAAGGTTAGATTGATGTAATGTATTCCTTGAATTCCTTTCCTCCTCTTCTCCTAGATGCTGCCTGACAAAGCTTTGACAAATGAAGATGGTAGTTCTCTGCAGTTAGTCTGTTTGTAGTTCATTTTCCTGCCACTCCAAGTCAGTAAAGTTTGGCTGTCTGACAGCAATGATGTTTTTGTCCTTGCTTTTGGAGAAAGACATGAACAGGAAATACTTATTCTTTTATTGGACCTGACGTATTCTTTTGAATCATCATTCTTTACTTGCAAATATGTTTGGTGCTTTGACTGGATGAAATTTGGACAGTCCTGGACCCATGTGGCTTTTGTTGAGACCTTAGAAGGTGAATTGATCCACCCGTGCTCTGAATGATGTAAACTGCTTTGTTCAGGAGAGGGAACAAAGTCAAACTTCTCTTGTGCTTGCTTTGAACTAGGTATAGATGCCAAGGCTGAATGGATGTATCTCCATCTTTCACCTAAATGCTTTGCACTGGGGACTCACAACTAAGATTTATTAGTAAGACAGAGTTGACAACTCCTGCACTGAGCTTTGAAATCCAGCTGGTGACCCTTGTACACATGTATGCTCTGTTGTCAGATACCAAACCATGCTTTGGTTTCTTGCACGTTGCTGAGGTTCTTGAGCTAAATGTTTAGCCACACTTGTCCTTCTCCTGTTTGCTTTAAAAACCTTTCTAGAAGCCCCACAAACGTTTTTGGACTCTTCACCTTACCTTGGTCACAAAGACCCCTTATCGTTCCAAAAGGGAACTTGTGACAAGGAAGGTTCTTGGTCAGTCCTGGGGCCTGGTTTGGTCTCACTCTGTGAAGAACTGCTTTAAGTGGTCTTTGGCAGGTCTTCACGTGATTTAGAATGTGGCTGATTGACTTCTTAGTTCATGCCTGTTGTATGTAAGTTAGCTTTCCCTTGAGATCAATGGAACTCCAGTCCTCCTAAGCAAGTTGGGTGGACTATGGAGAGTTCATTGAACGTAGGTCCATTCTTCACCTCTTGTTAAGTGAGGTGAGGCCTTCATCAAGTTTCCTATGATTTCTGGATCAAGTAACCCATTGAGGTGGGCTGTGGGAATTGCAGTGACTATACAAGTGCTCCAGTGACCTGATCAGTGGGTATCAGCCCTGACTGTGGCTCAGTTCACCACAGGTCACTGGCTCTTGTGCCTTGGTCCTAGTGTTTTCCTGGAAAGGTTTAGCATTAACATTCCTGGAAGGCAGACTTTGGCTAGAGCAGTGGTGTCTTACATGCTTGTTGAGTAAAAGATTAAATTTGGAATTCTGTTCTATTTTTGGTTGCTTGAAGTGGGGGGTGTTGCCTTGGTTTTCTGAACTGTCCCTCTGAGATCCTGATTTCTGCTCAGTGGGAAGGCTGCGTGTTGGGGTTTTGTTGGTTTGGGTTTTAATACAGTCTGGAGGATCAGGCTGCAAAGTCTTTTGAGGATAAATCCAAAATATTTCAGGATACTTGAAGGAGACTTTGAAAGGAGCCATCTGTGTCCTCTGTAACTACTGATACATCCAGGGGGACTTCGGGGAATGGCTTCCCTTATCAGGACATGGCTGGGTTTGTATCAGTAGTCCCAAGAGACAATCCAGTGTGTTGAGTTCTTAGAAACCCCTAGTTAGAGACTGCCACACTGAGGGGTCGAGTAGAATGGCTTTTCTGTAACAGTTTACTCCAACATGGCATGAAACCTCTTAACATATGGGAGAAGCACTGCAAGGAGCTGTGTGGTCGTGTGGCTGTTAGTGGGATGCTGAAAGAACTCTCATGTCTGAGATGCAAGTTACTTACTTTTAGTTGTCTATGTGTGAGCCCTGTGTTTTATCAGATGAATGTTTCACTTGGCTCCACAGTCTGTGGTGAAACCTGGACGCTCAGCTGATGTGCAGGCTCATGTAGTTAAGTAGAATGAATCCTGCTGGTGTTGTCAGCCTGTATCCCAATCTTAACAGTAAATTAACTGGTAGAAGGTAGGAAGCTGTGTTAGAAGAGAATGTTCCTGGGCTGTTACCAGTTAAATGATTCTTGTTAGATGTTGCCTTCTCTTTCTTGACTCTGTGTTTAAGGGTTTTGTTATTCATTTACTTTCTTGGGTGGTATATGCCCATCTCTCCTTCGTGTCCAGCAGAAGGCTGTGCTGAGTTCACCTTAGACAGTGAAATCCCAGAGTACCCGAGCAATGAGTGGTAAGCCCCTGACCTCAGCCAAGACCTGGAGTTGCAAGGTATCTTGCTCTGCAACAAAGAAAAGGGTTTTGATGTTGCTGAAAATTCAAGGAGAATGGCAATGGTGGTGGTAATGATGAATAGGACCATCTGGTGTGCTGGGAAAAGTATGCCAGAGAGTAATTTCCATAAGAGGGTGTGAAAGGATGTGAGGAAGGAGAGGCAGCTGGAGGGCTCTTGGGCAGTGAGGTGCATCCTTTGGCTCAAGTGTGTGTATTCAGCAGAAGCTCTGATCTTGATCTCATTAGCAACCCAGCAAGATGTTTTGGTCACCTCTTTCTTTTCCCTCCCAGCTCTGCTGTGTTACATTTATTACTATTGAATTCTCCTCAATCTGGTACCATTTTCCCACTGAGACTTTTATAAATCTTCCTCAAAATTCTTCTAGATCCCAACTATTCCGCCTTCTGCAGCTTTTTGTGTCCTTTTCCCTTCTGTGTCACTCATACCTCTGGCAACAGAAGATCTTGTGTACTGAGTGCTGAGGTATTAGCTGGCATGTTGTTGCTATGCTGAATGCAGCATTGTTTTGCTAGGAAGGTTTGTAATAGCCATTTCAGTGTAAATTTCCAAGTAGAAGTAGGGCTGCACTGTAATGACTTACGAATAATATGTGGTGACCTAGTTATTGGACTGTTTACTGTATGAATATTCCTGTTTAGCCTATTGCAAGGGTGTGAGGAAAAAATAGCAAGCTAAAGGAGAAGGATCACCCTGGACAGCACCTTTCAAAGGGTTATTAAGAAATAGCTTTAGAGATGGTAGTCAGGTTGTTCATGCCTGCTTCGTGCAGAGCTGATCATCTTGATTTGGGAGCCTGAAAAGCAAATGGCTTTGGTCACCTTAAGAAGAAGAAAACCTGCCCTTGAAAGGCAGGGCCCTTTGTTCAGCAAACAGGACAGATGCACACAGCAAGCCTTTTGCGGTACCAAAGACACTAAAATGTCATCTAAACCTCATTAAATGTTGTCAAAGATACATGTTTGACTATCTGTCTAATTTAAACTTCTTTTCTTCTTCAGGTGTTATTGCTGTTTTGGAAAGGAGCAGTGCTTAGGGCTTCCTGAGCAGTTGTTAACAGAGGGAACATGATATGCTGAAAGGAAGGGGTGCAGCTATGTTCAGTGACAAAGTGCTAATCAGATCAAAGGAGCCCTGATCTAGCTCTGCTGTAAACCTGAATTTGTTCCTGAGCAGCATAGTATGCTTTAAATATATCCCAGAGAAACAAATATAAAATGCTTTTCCTGGCGTAGACGTTGACACTTGCAGCATGTTGGGCGTCTGCCTTATACGTGCATATGTGGAACTATATGTGCATGTGCAAGTCTCTGCATAAAGAGAATCAAGGAATCACCTTCCAGGAAAGGAAGAGGCTCCCAGCTTGCTTTCTGGGTGGGTGGCTGCGCTAGAACAGGCAGAGGATCTACCTCTAGTAGGTGCCTATCAAATATGTTGGGACTTGGACATCTTTAGCTTTGAGTTTGTCAATTAAAATGGTTTTGATTTCTGTGTAGCGATACCCTCCCATTGTGAAACAGTCCTCAAATCAGCTCAGAGAGATAAAGGGCATTATTTGCTGCAGTTTAAGGTTTTTAAAAAGAGAAAAAGAGAATGAGAAACAATGGAGATGTATTTGTGGCTTATACATGACTGTGCATTGGGTGGTTTGTGGCAGTGAAATACTCTCAGTAACAGAGCAGGTCAAGCATTTTGTCAAATATCCCAGTGGATGTTTGGTTCTATATTTAAAATCCTGTGAATTGAGATGTAAACTGCATTTAACTTATTTCTTGAAAGCATTAGTTCCAACACCATGGTTGTGTTCTACTGCAGAGATGTGTTTGCTGAGAGGGAATGACAGTTTTTATCTGCTAAGGTCTGGATAAAGGTGCTACCATCTCCCTGAAGGGTCTTGCCTTGAATTTTGGCAAGAACATTATTGGGGTATTATCGTTTGCTTATAAATGTATCACATGTCATCACTTGCTAGGCTTATTCTTTGTTGTTACAGCAAAGAATTTATACATAGCACAGTCAAGTGGGTAGCTGGAATTTTGCCTAGGTTTGCGGTGAAGGGATTCAGGCACAGCACAGATTGGGAGCTGAGTTTGTTCTCCCCGTGCAGTAATGGAGCTAGCGGCTGGCTCTGTGAGAGCCAGTTTGATGTCTCTCATGTACATGGTAGCAAACCTCTTTGTCCTTTTCTAGTTGAAGAAGATTGGTGGCGGTGGCTTTGGGGAGATCTATGAGGCGATGGATCTGCTGACCCGTGAGAATGTGGCCTTGAAGGTGGAATCAGCCCAGCAGCCCAAGCAGGTTCTCAAGATGGAAGTGGCTGTCCTGAAAAAGCTGCAAGGTAAAGCAGAAAACTCCTCAGAAGTGCTAAAGGTCACTGTGCATGTTGACAGTTAGAATCACAAGTTGCAGATGTTAATGATTTTTCTCTTCGGTTTCCACCTATATGTTATGTTACATTAAGTCCTTCACTTCAGAAAGTTACTACATTCTGCAGAGCCTCCAACTGCTCTCTGTAGTGAGATCCAACTATGGAGAGTATTTTTATCTGCCAGGCTATAGGAACAATGGGGAGACTCAAACTGCACTTGGGGAATGCTGGTCTGTGCAGTCTAGTGACACTGATGAGGTAGTAAGGAGTAGAGCAAGCAGTGTGTGATGGAAAAATGAGAGTAACTGATTACCTCCCAGGGCACCCAGTGTTTGTGGCTGTAGTACTGGGAGAATGACAGTGTCCAAGTAAATGGTTGACTGCCTAGTAGAGGAGTGCAAGAAGTGGATAACATGAAGTATAAGGAAGCTGGCATTTAGTTGATTTTTTTGTGTACCTGACTCCTGAAGGAGGATGTGAAGTAATTTTAGGTCTTTTCGTTTTGGGATTGGGGGGGGTTGAATTAAGTTAATTTAAATTATATGACTATTCGTAAGTTTCCCTAACACAGCTTTCTATCAGTTTGGATGTGGAAGTCAGCCCTGGGAGCATCAGTTTCTATAGCTGAACCTGGCAAAGCTTAGAAGCAGGTTTCAAACTGACTGGGAAGCAGCAAAATGAGAGTCTGCCTTGACTTGTGTCCAACCCTGCTTCCACTTAAGCAGTCACACTGGAGGGAGACTTGCTTTATGCCAAATGCTGTTTGCTTGGATGAAACCATAAATAAGGCTAAAAGTTGAAACTTCCTATGCAGACCTTTAAAGTCTTCACAGTCACAGTTACTCTCAGCAAGCTGGTAGAACAGTGTGAAGGAAGCCAGCCACTATCCCTAAGGCATTTGCAATGCTCATGAGCTACAGTTTAATGCCAAAGGGTACAGCAAGTCTTGCTGCAGCTGTTCCTGGCTGAAGGAACATTGAGGGGGCTTTTACTAAAAATTGATCACTAGAGGAGGATGTAAACCAGGAATTCCCAAATCCATCTTTGAGGAACAGAGAACTGCTCTTTGATAAGTGCATTTTGCATGGATTTCCTTGTGAAGGCAAGGGCAGCTCTTGACAGGTATAGTTACATATTCTAGTATATGCCTTTGAAGGGATGTTCCTTTTTTGCAGGCTTCCCATTTTGGATGAGGAAACACCTTCCCATGCATTAGTATCCTTATCACCAGGGTTTATCCTTCAGAGATAGTGCTGTGGGCCTGTGTCCGTTTCTTTACTTCTGCCCTTGTATGAAACCCCCAGGGATCTGGTTGAATTAGAGGGTGAGATTGTTTCAGGTCTTGTGAAATGGGTTACTCAATGGTTGTGGCAGATTGCCTCTAGCTAAGAGTCAGTGAATTATTCTTGAAGGTCAGATGACTTCCCACAGTTGAGCCCTGCAAAGAGGAGGCATGATGAGGCCTTTTTGAATACACTGGATTGTAATAAATGCAGCTGAGCTGGTAAAGAGAATTGAAACAAAGGAGAAATCAACCCATATTGTTAGGAGGCAGCTTGTTCTTGACCTGTGACAGGCCTGGAGACACAGAGCTCTCAGAACAGCAGGAAAGGTGGCAAGGCAGAGATTTTGATTTTTGCATTTGGTTGTACACTAGGAAATGCTGTGAATTGAGTGAGGGTGTGACTGGGTAAAACAGCAGATCATTAGAATACCAAGAGTCGATGCTGTCATGCTGGCTGGTGTCACTGTGTGGTACACCTGCAGCAGGGAATGCTTGAACAGTATGTCACCAAATCAGAGCTATGATGCCCCATCCTTGGCAGTGTTCAAGGCCAGGCTGGATGGGGCTCCCTGTCTGTGGCAGGGGGTTGGAACTGGATGAGCTTCAGGGTCCCTTCTAACCCAAGCCAGTCTGGGATTCTATGAACTAGCATCAGAAAATGTGCAGTGAGTTGACTAATACTCATGTTTTGCTGTCAGTATTCATGTCTGGAAAACTGAGAATATCAGATGCTTGAGAAAACACCCACCAGTGTACACTGTGTGATCCTGGGCACTGGGGAGAGGGAGTGGTGGCATGTGGCAATAGTGAAGTCCCTTGGCAAAGCAGTTAGCAAATATTAAGGGACAGGAAAGACAGAAGCAGCAGAATTGGCTCTGCATCAGCTATACTGCATCTGAGAACAACAGATTACTTCAGCCATGTTTTTACAAATCAAGCTGTTCTGTGAAGAATTCAGCTTTTTTTGGTTCAAGGTTAATCCCCAAATGCCTTCCTGAAATAAACGCTGGAGTTAAAATAAGAAATTAGGTTAAGAGAGTTGGGAATCATGTATTGTGTATGTTTTCATGGTGAGCTGTTGCAAAGAGGTAGAAAACATTCCAGGAAGGGAGGGACTGACTTTGCAAACAACTGGATGGAGGAGGTTGGTGTTACCATAGGTAATGTGTTTGGTTCATGTTTTCTGGGTGAAAAACAATGGAACAGTGTTGTCTAAAATTCCTCTCTACTTTTATGTTTGAATTGAACATTGCAGTCCTCTTAAATAGTACAACTGCATTGTTTTCTATTTAGGTATCACACCAACATTAAAGGACTGACGAGCTACTGCTTTTTTTCTCAGAGCTTGTGATCAGGATCTTGCAAGTTGCTAGAGCTTCACAGAGTTTGAGATAAAGCAGGCTGACCATTAGCCCGTATTGCAGACCTGCATCAGGACCTGATTTGGGTGCAGCCTGATCTCTCAGTGCAGTAGTTCCTTATTGGTTTGGACTGCAGGCTGTTGCCAACAGTGAGACTTTCTGGGACACTTCCTGGAATAGTCACATAATGAATGCAGCTGCAGGTCTCTCACAGTGTCCTTTCTAAGCTGGCTGTGACAGAATCATAGAATACCAGATTGAATCATAGTCCATGCAGAACAACTGGGGAACTAATCAGTTAATGACTGTTCTAGAGATTCTCTGTGCCTTCTAATAAACACTGTGTGGAGTTTTCCACTGTGAGGGTGGTCCAACACTGGCACAAGTTGCTGAGAGAGGTTGGGTAGTCTCCATCCTTGGAGATCTTCAAAACCCAACTGGATGCTGACCTGGAAAACTGCTGTGCTGTCTCTGCTTGAACTGGGGGTGTGTGGACTAGATGATCTCAAGAGCTCCCTTCCAACATGGATGGTTCTGTGATATTTGTGCTTGGTGTGTGCGAGATCACTGCCACTTCAGTGACCCTTAGCTGCCCTGCAGAGTTGTTCTGTTCTGCTCTTACTTGGTTTGATTGTTTTAGCTGCATAGTGCTTTTTCTTTGTTTGGGTATTAATGTCTTTGCCAAAGGCAAAGTTCTGTCTGACTTACATTGTTACTTCAAAGGATCGTAGATCATCTCCTGACCAACCTTCCAAAGCTTTATACTGTCTTGGGGCTGGGGAACACCAGCAATGGTGCCCTTTTTAGGCTTTGGGTGAAACGTGATTGAGAAGTCAGCTTAGAGTTTCTTGCTCAAGAAGGTGGCGAGCTGAAGCTCTTGGTCTGCCTGTTGTTACACATTAACCCAAAAAGTTTCTACCAGATTTCTGTCCTTTTTTTGCCTTCTATGGACTATTTTAGTCCTTGGCACTGTTGAACCAAAGCCATTTTCTCGGTGTGCATTGGTTATCTTGCTTGGGGAACAGTGAAATCACATTCTCTTCTGGTACCATTAGGAATGTTGACCTTAGTATCACATTGTGTATTACTGTCTTCGATGGTCAGGAGGCCTGCAGCCTCAATAGTGCCTGGTTTTACCCATGTCATCATTGTAGATGGGGTCCTTCATGATGCATAAGGTCTCTTGCATAAGGAGTCACCATTTGAAAGCAAGTTTGTCTTTCCAGATCCTTACCCTGTGATGCACGCAGGCAACCCCACCTTGTAGAACCAGTGGTCACTATAGATTATGAACTTAGAACTTTTACTTCAGATCCACCATGGGTTTACCTACTGTCTGCTGTAGGTGAAGTTCTCTGCTGTTTATCAATACCAGCCTGAACAGCTCTTTTGGCCTGACTACTGGAGTCACTCACCACTTCTTTCAGGCTTGGTTATCTCTGGCTTATCTGTCCCTTCCATGGATGAAGGAGTAAGCAGGACTAACCTTACCTGTAGGGTCAGGAACTTTCCCTTCCTTGAAGAAGGCTGCTGCGCAGTTCTGAGCTGCTGGGTGTCATGGAGAGTCCAAGGAACCACATCAGAGAGTAGACTCTGCTGCAGTAATATATAGTAATATATATTTATCTCTAAAATTTTCCATAAGTAACAAGTAATATGGAAATGATGAATGAAAAATTCATAGTGTACAGCAAGAAGAAATGTGTGTATGTAGTTGGCAAGTATAAGGGTAATAAATCTACGTAACACTATAAAAAAAGATGGTAAGAAACATTACCATATAGACAGCTAATAGAGAATTACCCTAGTAGGGACAAATAACAAATTCAGAAAGCATATCAGGGATAGTTTGGCACATCTGCCCAGGGAAATTCTGCATGAATACAGCTCCTTTGTCAGAAGAATACTATTTTAGTGCCAAGCCCTCACTTTATTACCTTAATCACTACTGTAAAATTATCTTGAAGTGAGATAATTGTATATGATTGTACTATTTGCACATCATTTTAACCTACTGGGCTTTTCTGCTTTGCAGTCAGGCATTTTGAAACCAAGCTAAGCTGCAGTGGCAAGATACTTCTTGCAGATACAGCAGGGATCCAGCCGAGAAGGCAGCTGCTTTAGCTGTATCTGCGTTTCGCTGTGTAGACAAGCCTTTTGGCCACATGTGTTAAAGAGCAAGTGGAAATAAGATCTGCATAGCTAAGTGAATTAGCAGTTTACCCAGAGAGCAAGAAGATCCTTTGCAAGGTTTTATCTGTTTGACTCTTTTAAGCTCTGTCTACACTAGTGAGTAGTGTAGTACCAGCAGATTAGGGGATAGAAGCACTTGCTCAGACCAGTACATCTCTAGCATATATAGCTTGGGGATTTTACACTCTAAACAGCACGTGTTTGGGGGATTTTGCATTGGGTTACCTTTAATCTGGTTTCCCTTGTCTTAGGGGCCAGTTGTTGATTTGGACTGTCTCCTTTAGGATTTGGGGACTATTTGGTGTGTACCTGGAATTGAGCTCCTAGGTCTGTTTGCTGCGGAAAGTTGGCATGACCCAAAGGCACTCAGTGAACAGCACAGGGTAATTGCAGTGATGTACAGCAGTATGGAGGCTTGCATTAAAAACTTATTGCCATTATAAACCTGGAGTGTGGGACTCCCATTCTTTGGAATCATGGGGAGAAAAGAATGGGATGGTTTGCTGTCACTGAACATGTGGAAGAGTCCTGTCACCTCTAGAAGTGCAGATGCTTATCTTCAATGCTTGTCTAACCCTTTGGAACACAGACAGATGGAAACCTGCCTGCTCTCTGTGTGACTTTTTTGTCCCCCACCATGGATTTGCTGAGGAGGAACATTCAGGAGGCAAAGGAGCATCTGTGATACATTATCCAGACTCTGTTTCCCACTTCTGAGGTCTTTGAGTTTAATCAAAACACAGTGGCTCTGCTAGAACAGCCCTGGCACAGCTTTTGAGGTACTTTACATGGGCTATCTCGGTGTCAGTTTGCCTTTCCACTGGCAGCTTTAGTTGCAAAAATAGTAAACCAGTATCCCTGATTAAATCCAGTGGATTACTTGCTCCACCTTTTGGGCTTCTGCAGGAAGGGATGTGGAAACCATCTTCACATGTCAAACCAGGTACTGTGTCTGCTCTAGATGCTCACCTGGGCATGTGTGAGGCCCAGCAGCAAATGCTTGAATGCAGAAATATTTTCCCTGTCCTTATGCACTCCTTGAGAGTTCTGTCTTGGAGCATTCTGAAGGCTTATGAGACCTGGACAGTGCAAAAACCTCTCATGTGAGGCATACAGTTCAGATGCCTTCTGGTCCACAGGCTCCCCAGAATACAGATGTGGCCACAGCATTCAGTTTCCTTGGCTGGGATTCTCCTTGGAACAGTCAGGTTAGTTTGGTGCTGGGCACTGCTCTGTGTCACTGTGGTGGCAAGTTTTGCCCTGGTGTGAGGCCCTGAGTGCCTGCCTTTGACCTCACTCGCAGCCAGATGCGCCTCGGCTCTCCATAGCGTGTCACTCGCTCTGTCAAGGCGGCTCTTCAGCGGAACCAATCTCATTGCGTAGGACTCTGATTAATTTCATTCTGCAGTGCAGAGATCTTCTGCATATTGAGTAGCTGTGCAAGATGCAGCCTGGTCACAGGCACCGTGGGGTTTGAGTACTTGATCTTATTACAGCAGATAGGGAAGCAGGGCTGTGTTGGTTGGTCCCCCTTACTGCCAGGGGTTGGAAAGGCAAGGATTTCCTGTCAAATTAAGGGAAGAAAAAGGATCTTGCTTGGTTTTGTTTTGTTTTGTTTTTTCCTCATTTGCCAATCCTACTCTCTTCTTTTTGCATATGTGAGTTTTTCATGTTCAAGTGGTGCCTTAACTCTCTATGGTTCAATTTGTTACTTTTGTCTACGTGTTTTATGTGTCTCTTGTATTTTGCTAGCTTGATGTAGCTATCTGGAAAGCAGGGTAATTTACCCTTGGCAGGTTTTTAGGCTGTCACAGAATGGCACATTCAGACACTTGATGCAGCTCTGCCTAGCGCTGCATTTTTCCATGCAGAAGAGTCAAATGAACTGTTGTTTGGGCCACATGTTTTCTGCGTCAGCTGTGATGTCAAGGGAAGGGTGAGGATTTAAAACACACTTTTCTTCGAGGCTGGGTTGAATTTTTGCTCCTTCAATATTCTGCCTTGCCCTGTGTGGGATCTATTATCAGCTGCTCATCTTAAATATTTTAGTGGCCTTGGGAATGGAAATGAGGACCCATGCCATGAAAGGCCAGGCAGCTTTACCTTTACTGTTTGATTAGAAGGTGACAACCAGTCTTTTGTTGTTATGCCCAGTAGTTCATTATTTAGTCCATTCATTTACTACAGAAGCCCTAGCAAGGCTAACACAGTTGACTACTATTGGATAATGTCATTATTTAAGCCTTTACCTCCAGCACAGAATTTGTTTGCTTTCATGTTCAAAACTCCTTGTCTTCAGCTGGGTTGACAAGTCCCTGAAGTCAGCTAGTTTGTCTGACCAGAGGTAAAACTAACTGCAAAGGGAAGAAAACTGTATGCAGGTCAGCTTTGCCAAGCTCCAGACACTGTTTCCAAGCAAGTTAGATAATGGTGAAAGTTAACTCTCATCCCATTTTCTAGTCCTGATGGATCATTTATTTCTTTAGATTGTTTGTACAGTGAGTCCAGTATCCGTGATAAGCTGATAAACCTGATTCTGATGTGGACAGGCAAGAGGATAGCTATGTAATGTATATTGCATCTCTAATGTAGGAGCATGAAAAATAGCTGCAGCTTCCCAAATGCTGGTGAAAGCACTTGTGTAGCTGGATATCCACAACTGTGTGTATTACAGAGACCCTGGCAGTGCCAAGTGCTCAAGTAGGTTCTGTCACTAAGGATTTGGCTTTTCCTATGCAGCTTTCTTCAGGGTTGAGCTGCTGGGTGGCTGTGCCGTGGTGGTTATTTTTGACCACCAGTATTCTGTTGGGTTTGATACTTCCTGTATTAACAGAATAAAAAGAACTTTGACTGATGATTCTAGAATTAAGCTGAGTTTGTGATTAGAAGGGTCAGAGGCCACTGCTGATGTGAGAGGCAGGCCTTGAAGAAAATGAGTGCCTGACATGGATAGATCGAGGGGATGATTTGGGCTGGGAGTGGCAGCTCTGGATGTCTGTACTACAACCTCCTGCTCCAAGGAATAGATCAGGCTGTTATAGGCAGTGCCATTACTGATTATTGCATATCTTTGTGCTCCTCCTTTCTTAGTTGTAAACCTGGGAAGTATCAAACAATAAGCTTTGGTTGAAAAACTAATTAAAATCACCATTGCTCAAGTGCTGCAGAGACATACAGGGCAAAGTTCTGCAGTGGTACTCACCCCCCTCCCTGCTTAGAAACCCCACCAGGAACCACAGTGTTCACCACTGTGGTGTGTATGAACCTGTACTCTGTTACCAACAGTCTGCTATTAGAGGAACTTGTGCAGCATACAGAAACCACACCATCACAACTCCATTACAGATCAGGATCTGAAACCACAGCCTCTGCTCCCCCTGCATTTTGTAACACAGAGAAGGACCATGGAGGACTAGCTGAGTGCTGTGGGGGGATGGTTGGTTTTGATTTTGCCTGAATAGATGTAATTCATAGCTCTAGCACCATGCCAGAACTCAACATGAAACCGCCCAGGTTTATTTCCTCCTTTTATTATGAAATTGCTTTAATGGGTCCATGGAGGTTTTTTCCTTGAGCATCTTTCTTTTCCAGATGCTTCTGACTATTAAAATCAGGGTTTGTCCATGTTGGTGTAGGCTTAGTTTAGTTGTTCCAGGGTGTGCAGTACTGACAGGCAAATGTAGTAGTGCTACCACACAGGGATGGTGGTGGCTGTGGCGGTGTTGCCTGCATGTGGTGGTGGTACAAACTGCACTTCGTCACACTCCCACTTGTGCCCTCTGTCAGGTTGAGGACTTGAGAATCCCTGACACAGATTTCCACTTATGGCTATTTCACAGGCAGTTCTCTTGATGAATGGCAGTCCTTTCCTGAGCTATGAGACTGGGAAGTAGGAATCAGTCTGTTCTGCAGAGCTCCCTGCTTGATGCCTCTTGCAGTTGTCAGAAAGCATCTTTCCAACAATCACAGGGTTGCTATCTTCCATTTTGTGTGTTTCTCTTTCTTTTCAGGGAAAGATCATGTTTGCAGATTTATTGGCTGTGGAAGGAATGAAAAATTTAATTACGTGGTCATGCAGCTTCAGGTGAGTTCTGGGCTTCCCCTCAGCCCCCATCCTATGGAGATGGCATCACAGCGAAGGAGTCACAGTGACTGCAGACAGCCAAGCACTGGTGTAGAGACTTTGTTGTACAGAGAAAGTGGGTGGAATGGGAGACAGTGAGACCTGGGGGGGGGTGGTGTTGCTGTGATACCCTCCCTTGGGATAGCTCTGCTTGTTAGGATGTGCTAAGATATTTCACATCACACAGTTTGAGGCAGTGCTGTCCATGCCATGCCTGTTTCCCAAACAGTACATCAGCTGATTTCCCAGTGTAATGGTCTGGTATCTTCTTATGAGTCAACACAGCATCTGAAAGTTAAAACGAAGTATTGGAAGATCTTGTACAAGAAAGAAAGCAGACATAAAGTGAGCACCTCTCTAAGGAGCATTTCTGCTTTTGGGGGGATGCACGTTAGAACTTGGAGCTGTGAAATGCTGTGTGTGATGGTTTAAGTGTTCTATTGATTGTTTCAGGGCCGGAATCTGGCAGATCTCAGGAGGAGTCAGCCTCGAGGGACTTTCACGCTGAGCACCACGCTGCGATTAGGCAAACAGATCCTGGAATCAATAGAAGCCATTCACTCTGTGGGATTCCTGCATCGGGACATCAAGCCTGTATGTTGTTTTGGAAATCTGGGGTTTGCTTGTGTCTGTCTGTTCTGCTTGAGCCAAAGACAGTCTGAGTATGGGCAGATCTCAGTGGAGGCACTTAGTTCTGGCACACTCACACTGTCTGACACATTGGCTATTTTCTCCAAGTACAAACTAGTAATGCAGTATTGTCATGCCTTTAAGTGCATAAAAAACTAGTTAGTATGGGCAGAGGCTGCTCCATGGTGGCTTAGTAGCTGTCAGTCCTACCAGTTAAGATCACATAACGAAGCAATCTAATTTCAAACAATCATTTGGAGTCCAACCATTTATTCCTATAAAAGGGGTTCAGAAACAATGTTTTTCTCTGTGACCCATCACTTGAATAAATGCTGTTTCATGTATTTGACTTAGCCAAATAATCCTCTTAATCTTTTCTGAGCAATTGCCAAGAAGCTGGAGCAGAGGTTCCAGTGTCAGAAACACAGTCACAATGGTGGTCATCTGCCTTGGTGAGGCACAGTAATTCCAACTCGCATTGTAGGCGCCAGTCTTCTTCCAGCTCTTCACTGTTTGACCTCAGCACTTATTGGTCCCTAAGACCATCCTCCTTCCAGCAAAATCATTTGCTGCTTTTGAAATCAGCCACGTTTGGCTGATCAGATTAGGTGAAAATCAGTCACTAATGTAACTGGCCAAAAATCCTTTATGGTAAAAGATATGTTTAAGATGGGGAGTTAAAAAAGAGCTGCTCTATTTGCTTGTTAGTTTATTTACTAAGAACCAAACCAAGTGATTTTTAGTTGTCTGAATGTTTAGATCAGTTGAGGTAATGCAGTATAGTGGATGGAGATTCTGGGGATTACAGCAGCATAAAGCATGCTGGCAGCTGAATGATCAGAAGCGTTTGTCTGCAGTAACTCCAGCCTGGTATGCATGTGATGGAGCTCTCACTTTTTCTTGTAGCAGCTGAAGTTTAGTTAAGCTAATGTGAAATTTAGTTACTTTGAAACTCCACAGTCGTTTGACTGCAAAGTTAACCTCTTAACATGGCAGTGATTGGCTCATCAGGAGTTTAAGATGCATCTTGAAATTCTTCTGTTTGACTTATGTTTCCACCAGAGGCATGTGGGGCTATGTGACAAAGTTTTGTTATTAAATGGTCACTCTTACCCAAGTTTCTGGTGTCAAACTGATTGTTTTCTTTCTTTATCTAGTCCAATTTTGCCATGGGCCGCTTGCCTTCAACGTACAGGAAGTGCTACATGTTAGACTTTGGTCTGGCCCGTCAGTACACCAACACCACTGGTGAAGTCCGGCCAGTAAGTACATTTGAAGTCATTTTTTTTCCACTTGTGCAGCTGCTTAGGTGTGGAAAGCTTTGAGATTTTGTTTGGTTTGTGGTGGTTCTGCTCAGTCATTCTATTTGACAGCATTTTCTGCAAGGTGAGATGCAGCACGTAGGTTCAACTGAGTTGAGAATCTAAGAAGGGATGCGTGCTGTTGTCTTACAAGGTGTTTGGCTTTGGTTTTTTCTTTTCATAGAAGATAATCATGTTTTCCACAGGCTTGCAATACTTCCCGAGTACGTAATGGCCATGCAAAGAGGGTGAGCCCAGTGCTGGCCGTGTAACTTCTGTAGCCCCAGAGGACTGGTCTAGTTCAGTCCTTTCTGATCTGGGGAACAAGGTTGGTGTGTTCTTAAAGCTTTTTATGACAAAAAGTTAAAATGCTGGAAGTCAGAGGCTGACTTGATCTCTGAGGCTGAGCTCACTGTGAATGGCAACCTGTAATGCTGTTCCAGCCTTGCCTGCCTTTGGTTTTGTGTACATTACTCCCTGACAAGACTTCTTAGCAGGCAGATTTCAGCATGCCTGCTTGGAGGGGAGGTCAGGGCAGAGGGCATAATTGCACCACATGACATGTGGTGTTATCTTTATCAGCACTGTGTTATTTGGGGTCACCCATAAAGATACATTAAGCTTCAGGTGCTCTTAGGTATCATTTAGAGCATTCCTAGATTTATTTTGGACCACAGCTCAAGCAGGGAGGGCTCAAGACAATCTCTGTGTTTATCATCCTAAGCCTGTACCTTTGGGCTCTGCACACCTTTTCCATCTGCAAGATAACTATTCTGGAAAGCATGGACAATGTGAGAGCTAAATTCATAGATTCTGTAGTACAGGATATGGTTGGGGAGTGGGAAGAAAGCAAAGATCAGTGAACAGATTCTGGGTCTTTTTTCTTTTTTCCTTTTTTTTTTTTTCCCTGTCTTTTCAGTTGGACATTATTAAAAGCCTTTTCTTTTTAGCTGTAGATGGGAGCAGCTCCAAAACTTGTGTTTACATCTTAAGAAGACACACACCATGTACTCTACTAGTCTTCCTTGTTCATGCTGTTGAGTTTAAGGATAACCCTCCTCCATACTGCCCTTTGCAAAATGCAGCCCCACTCCCTTCCTCTTTCTGCAGTTAGAGTTCTAGCCCACTATGGGTTGAAACAGGTTTTCTGCAAAATCTCTACACTGCTTCAGTGAAGCAATGAGTACATGTGTATTTCAAGTCCTGCTGTTTGAACAGTGTTTTGTCTTTACACTGAAAGAAGCCGGTTGTTATAGATGTCTCTTCTTTTGGATCCTCTTTTTTTCTTCTTTTCTCCCAGTAGAATTACTTTGCTTTTATTTTGCTACATCCTTAGACAATACTCCCAGGCCCTGGTTTTGGAAAAGCACTCCATCCAGCCTTGATGTATTTCAGGGCAAAAGACTTCTGCGTGTCTTGCAGGCTGTCTCCTGCCTGGGTTGGTGTGGGTGAGGTGAGGCTTTGTTAGGATGCAAGGCTCTGAGAAGGTTGGTCTTAATGCTGGTGGCTTGCTTGCCACAGATGGGTCTTGTGGAAGAGCTAGTAACACATAATCTTGTCTTGAAAAAAGACAAAGGGATCCCTGGAGGGATGGGAGCATCCTCAGCTGAAAATGGTAGTTGTTTTGTTGGGTTGTGGGAGGATCAATGGGGGTGAGATCTTGTAAACCAAAGGTACCTGTTCCCCCTCACCAGGCAGCAGGTGGTAGGGGGGTTTGATACAAAAAACACTGACTTCAGTTCCTTTTAACGTTATGTTATAGTCACTGGGCTGTTTGATCTTTCTGTGTCCCCGCTGCCTGACCCCGCAGATGAGTCCAGCTCCCCAGACTGACGTTTGCCTGGAGGAGCATGGTGGATTGCTGCCCAAAGGAATGTGCTAAGGATTAGGAAGGAGATGGGGGTGAAGGGCAGTATGAAATGAGATTTTCATGTAGGGATGAGGAGTTTGTTTCATTTATTATTATTATTATTATTTAAGGAACTTTATCATTTATTTCACCAAGGAGTACTTCAAGCCAGTAGGTAGTCTTATGTCTCCATTCTCTTTCAGTTTCTTTATCCATGAAGAGCAATAGAATCCCAGACTGGTTTGGGTTGGAAGGGACCTTAAAGCTCATCCTGTTCCAATCCCCTGCTATGGGCATGGACACCTGGTTCGTGGTAATGTAGGACAGGTTTGGGACCGTAACTCCTTGATCATTGCTGGTCTTTATTCAGGCCTGCCAGTTGTGTCCTGAACATGCAGTACAGACAGCTTTATTCTTTCCCTCTGCCTGCGACACCCTGCTTTCAGAGACATGTTCCCTGTGGCTCCACAAATAGCAATTGAAAATGGTCCAGCATTTAGCAGCTTGGTCTTGATTATTTATTTGGAAACAGAGGCGAAGCCATGTTTTTCCTGGAGCCTCTCTCCTGTTGCAGGAGCTGACACTGGGCTGTTCTGCTCAGCAAGCATCTTTTTCGCTTAGTCAGCTGCAGCCCATTGATCAGCTCTTGATCTCCTCGTGGCTCCAACTGCAGTGCAGCACTTTGCAGCGCTGGGCTGAAGGCACCGCTCAGCTGTGAGGGCGGCTCTGTGAGTCAGGGAGCAGAAGGAAGATGCTGTAGGCAGGACAGGGCATAGCCTGTTCAGACGAGCGTGATGAAGGCTGCAGAAATGTGTCAGCTAACTGAGAAAAAGGTATTTCTTTTACACAATATCTGCCTAGTGTTAAAAATAAACCTTGCTGCAGTGAACAAGGTATTAGAAGAGGAGAGTGTGCTATCTGATACATTTTTTTTACAAGTAGTTTTCCCCCCACTGGAAAATGAGCTGTAAAATAACATGCAGGTTATGAACTCCTGTATCGTAAGAACCCATGTTCTAACATAGAAGCCCAGTAGCTTTTACACTTGTTTAGTACTTGCAATATATGTAAAGCTGTAATGTTATGTTGGAGATGAGCATTTTGCAGTCAAACAGATTTGTGGAGCTGTAGTACTCTGCTTATGAAGAGATTGCTTTTGTCTTGGGCTTCATATGGTTAAAAGGTATTTGAAGAAGAGGCTGAAAGCACAGCAGAGTGGCATAGGTTTAGCAGAGATGGAGAAAGGGAACAAAATGGACCTTTGTCTTTAAAAATATCTCACATTTATTATATTTACAGAAATGCCATTTCTGTGGGAATGGGTCAGTTATAAAACAGGTTGTGAAAATTACATAAAGGTTCTTGCTGTTGCTTTTATTGTTGGTGCAGCAAATTTGGACTTGAGAAGGGAGTTCATGTTCCAGTTTAAAACACTGCAACTACAGAAAGCCAATGCAGTTGACATTAACTGTATGAAAAGCAGGCTAGCTGATGGCTTTTGAAATCTATTAGCAAGCAGGGACTCTTGTATCTTGTTACAACTAGTTGTTTCTCTACTTTCCTCCCCTGGTTCAGCGAGGGTGACCTCCGATCGTCCACATCTGGTTGTTGGTGGTTTGATTTTATGTAGCAGCTCTCTGATTAGAGCTCTCGTGCTGTAGGGGCGAGGGAAACAGAAGGACGTCTCAGGCTCAAATTCCATATATACCTGCAGGGAACTGCGATCCCATTTTCCGTTTCCAAGTGCCTTTGCTGCCAAGCTGCAGGGAGGATGTATCTGGATGTATCATTCCTTCTGGTCAGTGCTGTTCCACTTGAAGCTTTGATTATTTTTCCCATGGGACTGCAGAGAAAAGAACAGGAAACTATTATTATGTCTGCTGGTAAGGGAACAGGGGCTTCACCCCCTGGGCAAGGGAATGTTGAATTGGATTGCAGGTTAGGTCTCCCCTCAATCAGGTAAGTGGATTTGCTGCCAGGTTACAGAGTGCCTATGTTTCTCTCTCTTTTGAATAAATACTCAATTATTCTGTGCAAAAGGGGTCCGTGCCAACAGGGACACTCTTAGACTTGCATCTCAAAGCACCTTGTGGTGTAGGGGTGAGGGTGTGCTCTGGAAGGAGGGTGGTGTGGTTTTCATTTCTGCCCGAGGGGTGGAGAGGTTTGAACTTAGCTCTGCTGCATCCCAGTGATTGCCACAGCTCTCTCTTGTCTTCCTGTTCCTAGAAAAGGGTCATCTTCTCCACCTGCCTCCGGGAAAGCATTATGAGCTGTAAATCCCCAAAGAAATGCGATGAACACTTTACAACAGTCCAAAGTATTTCCATTTCAGTGGTCCCTCAGCTCTGTGATACAGCTCATGAAGAACATCTCTTCCTTATTCAGCATTCGCCATGCTTTCCATAGAGACGTTCAGTACTGCATGTTCCCCAGTGGGACCATGCCTGTAAGAAACAAGTTGCTGCCAAAATTCCCTTGTTAAAAATTGGATAATAATTGAATGGTAGGATTATAGCTGGAATAAGCCTTTGAGTAAAAAAAAAATGCTCATTATTAGCCATGTTTCTAATGTGAGAAAGGCATCCTCATCTCCAGCGCAGGTTCTAGAGCAGGCATTGCATGATGAGGTGGTTCGTGTTTGCTGTCTGAAAACATGATATTGTCACCTTGGCCTCTTCTGATGGTAAAATCCATTGGCAGTTTTGATTCTCCTGAAGTAAAGAAGGGAAGGTGTCATTTTAACTCCTCTCCTTCAGGTCTTTTGCTTTGAAAAGAATAGTAGGAGACTGTCTCAAAACTGAAGTCAGTGCAAAATCTAGAGTTCCTAGAACTTGCACATTTTCAGGGAAGAGGAATAGTTAAGACTCAGAAGAAACACCACTGAGTTGATGGCTCTTGATTGGTTGGTTTCTGTTGGAATCGGTGTCTCCCAGCTGAGATCTTTCCTCAGTTTACTGAATTGAGTTTTAAGGCTGTATAATACATAATACTAGCTCTTGCCTCTGATCAGTGTGGCCCTCATGTTTTCACACTCTGCAGTTCACATCTTAAGATACAGTGACTGCTCATGTGACCTAAAAGCGTCACTGACTTTCATTCTGCTCTCTTTCAAATCACATTTTAATCATAGAATCCCAGACTGGTTTGGGTTGGAAGGGACCTTAAAGCTCATCCAGTTCCAGCCCCTGCCACAGGCAGGGATACCTTCCACTGGACCAGGTTGCTCCAAGCCCCTGTGTCCAACCTGGCCTTGAACACTGCCAGGGATGGAGCAGCCACAGCTTCTCTGGGCACCCTGTGCCAGGGCCTCAGCACCCTCACAGGGAAGAATTTCTGCCTAAGAGCTCATCTCAATCTCCCCTCTGTCAGGTTAAAGCCATTCCCCCTTGTCCTGTCCCTACAGGCCCTTGTCAGAAGCCCCTCTCCAGATTTCTTGTTGGCCCCAGGTAACTTTAGGAAGGGAAATCACAGTAGAATCGTACAACTGGTGTGTGGTTAGGATATATGCATCTCTCCTCTCAGCTTGGGGGTTTTTTATACTGTTCGGTGTGATCTGTGAGCAGGGGGAAATCGGTCTCTAGAGGGACCCCTTTCACCACTTGACAGCACTCACACACCACAGGCTCGCCCAAAGCCTGGGGTGTAGATGAAACTAAATTCAGCATGGACCAACAGCCATGGGGAGGATGCTGGGAGATGGCAACAGCTACACAGGAGACCCAGGTTTCTGGAGGGATACAATATTGAATTGTTTTTTAATTCATTTCTGTTTAATTTTTTTCTCATTTTGTTGTTTTTTATCATGTTTTTCTTTGGGTTTCTCTCTGTTTTACAGTTCTTTTGGGCTCTTCTTTTGAGGCTGTGTTTGATGCGTTGGCTTCCCATCCGCTGCTCGTAACCATCTCTGCTATGAGTTGTGAGTGAGCCATCACCATGCTTCTGGGTTTTCATTTTGTTTTGTGCTTTTGTTATATACCGAAGTCCGAATGACACCTGGTTTTCTTTTTTCCCCTCATGATATGTTTGTCTTTCAGCAGGATTGTGACAGCCACCTAAATGTGCTGCAGAGGCCTAGAACACTTGGGATGCTGCCTGAGGGGCTGGCAGGCATTTGGGTGGTGCCAGGGACTGTGGTTTTGTCACTTCTGTTGTTGCAGAGGCCAGGGGAGGGGAGTTCTGTCCTCTTACAGTTTTGGCTCCAGCTTCCTCTAAGTCATTTCTGACTCCCTGTTGGGATAAAGTACTAAAAGTGCTGCTGTTTAAATTGGCGTAAAACACATTTAAGAGGTGCAGAATTTGCCTCCACAGAAGAGGTGGAAATGCATATCCCTGTGTCTCCTCCATGAGCCTAATGGGTGGAAGCAGAAGATTGCTAGAAGTCGCAGAGATGCTTCCTTTCACTTTTCCTTCTTACCACAACTTTTCCAATGGGTCATTTCAATCCAAGATGTATCTCCAAATGCTTTCCATGGTCTGTGGCATTTCCTCTCTCCTGTTACCACCTTCTATTCGATCTGCGCTCTCTTCTCGTTTCCTTACTCCTGGAAATCCTTTCCCTGTTTCCTGGAGAGGTGGGTCAATAACCTTAGATGACAGCAGGCCTGCCAGTGGCAAAGGAGGTGGATCTCATGGGGTGTTTGTACCTCAGGCTTCCAGACATTGAGGGAGAACCGGCAGATACATTCCATGAGAATAAATACCACAGGCATAAGAAACAGCAGGAGGAAAACACTGACATCCAAACATAAGTTTTTAGGAAAGAAGCTGGAAACTGGGACATCCAAAATACCAATCTAGGAACCAGTGAGACATGAGGAAAGATTCAGATTAATGAGGAAATATGAGCACTCCTGGCATAAAGGGAGCATATCTAGGAAAGACATTTCCCATGAATCGTAAGGCTTGGCACTTGAAATACAGATGATCATGAGTGGAGAATGATGAAAAGCTGATGAGTGCCAAAGGGCACAGTTTGGGACAATGCATCTACTTCTTATAGGATTTTATTCCCTAATTCTGCCTTTGTCTGTGAGGTAGTGTTTATTGCTAATGTACTAAAAGAAACACAGAGTGTAATTTTTGCTCTGTGGTAGTGATCTAACACATTCTCCCAAGCTAAAACTCATTTTAAGCCAAGCTTCTAACAGTGCAATATACTTCATATTTTGATCATCTTCCTAACAGCACTGTATAATAAATTACTTTACCTTTGTGCTAGACGCAATCTGAATGCAGGATTAGATGCACTTTACCCCGAGTAACATTGATGGTAATACTGATGTGGAAAAATGAAAGAAAAAATCCTGTATGGTTTTAAATTGTATTTCAGTTTATTACTTTCTTACAATCTGGGGGATTCAAATAGGTTGGGTTAAATATTATTCCACAGTCTGAAGTTCCTAACTTTTACGCTTTCAATACTGTGTCAAATGTGGACTGATCTGGACAGCAAGGATGCTTTATCTAGGCTCTTTTTCCATAGCTGGACAATGCAGTGGTGGCATGAAATTTATTAACTGGAAGAAATGAAGCATGTAAAGAAATAATCTGGAAAATTAATGTTGATGAGTTCAGAAAATAAGTCAATAACAGTAGGGTAGGCATCATGTCCTACAACAGAAGCTCAGACAGGAGCTGTTTGTTTGGATGGAAAACAAAGTATCTCCATAGCCATGGAAATATTTGATTGCAATGATCAGTGACACAGTCAGAAAGCATGACTGACTGCCTTGTGACTGCCTGGGCAGTCAGATATGGTTAAAAGAGGTGAAACCTTTATGAGAAGATGCTGTTCGCACAGCATCTGCCTGGTATATTGAAAGCTCTAAACAGCCTGTCAGATCAATTGCATAGTCTTGCTCAGTTGCAGTGAGGTACCCTACTAGAGAAGACTGGGGAGAGCCCTTTATCCTCAGCTGCAGGACTGGCTTGGTGAAGCGTCCTGTGTTGGCTGTGAGACATGCTCAGTTAAAAGATGGCTGGGCTTCTGGCTTGCTTCTGAAAGAGGAGGGGAATACATTTGCAAGCTGCCTGGAGTTGGTTTCAGAATAGATCTAATTAAAGACTGCACAGATAGCCTGTCTGCCAGAAATAGTGAGTATTGATCTAAAAAGGTTTTCAGAGACATTGCCAACTGTGCTGAAACCAGCACATGTGGTACTTGCCTCAGGATATACACAGCTGATAACTGAAGGCCCTGAAGTAGGGAAAGAACATGAAAGACAAACTCCCATGGACTGCAAACACTGAACAATGTTTGCTCTGAAAGCATCAGGGGTTACATATTAGAATTGCTCATAATACACTTGTGGCCCATGGAAAGTATCCAAACACACTGTCTTCCACTTGTAATGGAAAAGAGGAATGCCTTCTTGCTTTTGAATATGTAGAGGACATTTACAGTGATGCCTGACTCCAACAGATGTACTCTGCTGGCCAGTATTCTGCTTTTCAGGAACTCACATCAGTGAAGTCACAGGAATTCACAAAAAACTATTTTGCAGTCATTTGTCAGTAGGAATCCTAAATACGTGCTCCAGGAGGGATGAGGTTCATGGATCTTGAATAGAGTATCTTGACTGTTACCTGCTGCCGAATAAGTAGCTTATAGTTCAAGCTGGAGTACTGCAAGATTAAAGGCTGCATTAAGTGCATGGGGTATGCATATGGGTTCTCATGGAGTATTTGGTTAGCATAAAGGAGCTGTAAAATAGATGTAACTCTTTTTGCTTGGAGTCACTATAGAGAGCTGCATTATGCACCGTTCAGCAGTGTGATAGTAGCATGGTATGGTGAACTTGCTTAAAAACCATCTATTTTTTTCTGAGAGTACTGAAACTCAGAGCAACTTCCCTGTACGCAGCTGAAGTGACTGGATTGTATGTATTTAAACTGATAGAAGGGTGCCCTAGAATAAAAGTGCAGAGCTTTAGGCTTAGTCCTGGAAGCATAGGCACAGATAAAAGAACAGACATGGATCAACTGACCTAAGTGGGACAAGTTACCTAGTTAGAGTTGTTACTAATGTGCTCAGATTCTTGCCAGAGTAGGATCTTTATTATGAGTCCCTTTAGTTCTTTACCCATACTTAGCCCAGTGGTGGCAAGGCCTGAACCCAGTTTTGCCACGTGAATTTTGAAAGCACTGCTGTTAACTCTGGTGCTTCTTAGCTAAGCTGGGAGGATTTTGTGGATGTCTTTATTTAAAAAGCATATTTTTTTTTCAGAACAATGACATCTTCAGTAAAGGACCTCATATGGTATGATGTTCTTGTAGAAGCAGCAATGGAAAGAGGTGGAAGTGTTGCTCAGCCCCCAGAACAGAGAAAGCCTCCAGCACAGAGGAACAGTCGCAGGAGCACTGCCTTCTTCCCAAGGCTGCTATATGAAGCTGAGGATGGAAGGGAGAGTCAGACAAAGCAAAAATAGATACCTGGTTTAGAATATACAGGGAAGAACTCTGAAAGCTGGAGGTTCTTGATTTGAGTCTCACAGAGGATGTTGAGAGCAGTGCCAGCAAATGCCCTGTGTCAGAGTAGAGATCCTTGTTCCTGTCCCAGCCAGGCTGCCCTCAGACTTTGCTCAGCTCATGTTATTTATAACTCCATTTTGCACTTGCACTTCTTTATCAGCTTTTCCCTTAATCTGGAATTTAAAAAGGAAAATATAATCTTGGATAATGTTCTTAGCTCTGTGCCTAAACTCTTATTATTCTAATCTATCACTGTCACCACCTTGTCCTCTCTGTAAAATCAGCCTTCCTAGAAATGCACAGTTGGAGAATGCTGTCTGCTAGAGCAGATGGAGGCAAGTAGGAGCTTTTTATTCCTTGGGTGCATATGAAATAGCAGTATAAAGGAGGAGCTCTCAGGAATTAGCTGCACATGGGGGGTTAGTGATCTGCTCTGTCACTGAGATGTTTCTCATCTCCTTCAGCCCCGCAACGTCGCTGGTTTTCGAGGAACAGTCCGCTACGCCTCGGTGAACGCACACAAAAACCGAGTGAGTATTTGGGGTTATAAGGAGCTAACAGCAAAGTTATTTCTCCTCAGAAGCCTGTTTTCAGGAACAGAGGTGTAAGAGGCGTGAGTTCTGGTTTGTTTCTTTTACAGAAGTTAGTATATCAGATGACTTCCATGAGGTGGTCAAGGCTGTTGGCTTTAAAATCAAAGTTACGATTCAGTTATTGGACCCTCTCTAGATAGCAGCCTGAATAATTGCGTTAGCAGACACTTTAAGGGGAAAAAACCCAAACCACACTAAAGCAGAAACCAGGTTAAGTGCCCAGCTGCTTTCTAATAGTTTCTAGCAGTACTTGGCTGTGAATTACCAGGTGCCAGGTCCCCAGATCCATTCTCCACCTGGAATATGTAACGTTAACATCATGCCATCAGGTGAAGAGCCACATAGTGAAAGCTAGGTTTATATTTCCCTGAAAATATCCATTATTTACCCAGTGTCTGGCCTGTTTAATTCTAAACACTTCCAGAAGTCTCCTCTCAAACACTTATTCATCCTATTTGTTCAGTTTGTTTCTGTGTAGACAATAAACAGGAAGTTCTCTAGTTCTGTAGCTAAATGCTTGCAAGATGGAAACTCAGCCTTCCTGACTTACCTCCAGGTTTCCAGCCTCATTTTGGATGACTCTATAGGATGACCTGTGATACAGGAGCAGGTTTCAAGTTTTTTAGGGAAAGAAGTTCTTGGCTGCAGAACATAGAAAGTGTGATGTGCGGAGGGCAGTTGAACGCCATTATGAGTTCATTTTGTTTCCTGAGAGACAGTGAGAAACTTGAGGTACCATTTTTGGAAGAGCTGAACAGTGCCAGCTGTAGCTGGCATCAGCTGAAGGTATATTTAGACACAAAAATGGCTGTATAATGCATGCTATTCTGAGAAATCACATTCTAGACATTGGATGTTGAGCACCAAAAATTATGTGCTTTGATGATTTCAGCCTTAATCCCTGTGGTTCAATTTCCTATTTGCCAAAGACTTTCTGCACAGTTTGGGGTTTTGTTGGTTTGGGGTTTGTTTTCCTTAATCTGGGTTATTTCACGTCCCATTAATAAATATTCCCTCTTGTACACTTGGTGAGGGAGAGTCCTATGGAAAACTTGGGCTTTGCTGTATAGATAAAAAAGCTTTTCACAACAAACAAATGAGGTTATTCAGGTGACTGTATTGACATTGCCAAGTTTAATAAATGCTTGGGTTTGCATCTTTAGTCTTTAATCTGGCTTTTTAATCACTGAATGGGAAGTATGACTTCTCTTCCTGCTTTCTAAAATGAGGTAGCTCATCTGGCGAGCAGAACTGGACTCCTGAGCAGCAGGGAACTTTGCTCCTCAGTCTTCCATCTCTCTCTTCTCCAGGAGATGGGTAGACATGATGATCTGTGGTCCCTCTTTTACATGTTGGTGGAGTTCGCAGTTGGTCAGCTTCCATGGAGGAAGATCAAAGATAAGGTAGGAAACATCACTTCTGTGCTTACGATATAGGCTGCTACGTGTTTATTATCATGACTCTTTATCATTCATTTTGCAACTAAGTGCAACTTTTTGCTAAAGGAAAGCCAGAGCCTGCTTTTCATCAGATACCACTGCAGGATGCTAACCTGCTTTTGTGTGTTCTGATGCACAATGTAGAGCTTGTCTTACTTGGAGTAGCTAGGTACTTTTTTATGCATGTTGTTAATCACATTTGGTCAGGTAACTTTGACTCTGTCCTTGAAAAGCAAACAATAAAGGTGGAAAGGCTGACAAATAAACAGGAGAGGTGTGTAGACACAGTGCTCAGTCTCAGAACAGGCGGTGTTCCAGGAATGGTAAGACTGTATGAATATGAAGCAATAGAAGAGATTTTGGCTCTGAGATACTTCCTTTTTTCCAGGAGCAGGTAGGCATGATAAAAGAAAAGTATGAACACCGAATGCTGCTAAAACACATGCCTTCAGAGTTCCACCTTTTTCTGGATCACATTGCAAGCCTAGACTACTTCACCAAGCCAGACTATCAGGTAGGAACTTTTCTTTGTTACCAGTGTGATACATGGCACTGTGGATTGGCATTTGGAGTTTCTAACATTTCCATGCACATGTTCATATCTGTCTGAGGAATACCTTTCCTAGGATCAGAAGCAAAAGATTGGGCTGTACAGTTCCTCAACAGCTCAAGTTTTTTCTTCTCTTTCCACCAGCCTGCCCAGAATAATCCCATACTCCAGACCAGAAAGCATCAGAGTACTTTCGGCTTTCATTAAAACACAAAAGTCTTGAGATACTCTGAATGTAACAGAATTTTAGCACAGCTTGCCAAATGCAAAGAGCTCAATGGCCATAGAATCAATAAATCCCAGACTGGTTTGGGTTGAAGGGACCTTAAAACTTACCCGGTTCTAACCCCCTGCCATAGGCAGGGACACCTTCCACTAGAGCAGGTTGCTCCAAGCCCCTGTGTCCAACCTGGCCTTGAACACTGCCAGGGATGGGGCAGCCACAGCTTCTCTGGGCACCCTGTGCCAGGGCCTCAGCACCCTCACAGGGAAGAATTTCTTCCTAATGTCTCATCTCAGTCTCCCCTCTGTCAGGTTAAAGCCATTCCCCCTTGTCCTGTCCCTACAGGCCCTTGTCAAAAGCCCCTCTCCAGGTTTCTTATCACCCCTTTAGGCACTGGAAGCTGCTCTAAGGTGTTCCCAGAGCCTTCTCTTTTCCAGGCTGAACCAGCCCAGCTCTCTCAGCCTGTCTCCAGAGCAGAAGTGCTCGAGCCCTCAGAGCATCTTCATGGCCCTCCACTCACCTTATGACATTTGCTTTAATTTCCTTCCATAGGCAGGATGGAGATTAGAAGCTGTGCCTGGTCCTCATGCTCATACTTGAGATTTTTTGAGAGCCACCCTCAACTACTTCACATAAATTGTCTTTTTTGTAAATTTATTCCAGCTAATCATGTCCGTTTTCGAGAACAGCATGAAAGAAAGAGGTATCACTGAGAACGAAGCCTTTGACTGGGAGAAGGCTGGTACAGATGTCTTGTTGTCCACTAGCACCTCTACTCCACCGCAGCAAAACACCAGGCAAACAGCAGCCATGTTTGGGTGAGTGTTGCAGTTGCACAAGTCAGACTATTGACATCCTCAGGGATAAGCTCAGTATCAGCTTGGTTTTTGGAATGTTTCAAGGCTTCTATGATCCTGGGAAGTTTGAGCTGTGTGGCAGCCACTAGTTGATTTGACTTCATGTATCTGAAGTGGTGGAACCCAGTTTCAGACCCTTGCTGTCCTGAAAATACATTTTCTACTGGGGATGAGTGTGTGGGTTGGAGTCACATTAAGGGATATCTGGAGGTCTTTGGCCAGATTGATGGAGCCCATATGCTTGTCTATTTTGCCTATTATATGGCATACACGGCTGGAGCTTCTGTGAGAGTGCTTGCTATGAGGCAGTTGTTGCCTTGTTGTGGGGTGGGTTTATGGTAGATAGTCAGCTAAATCCAGCAGAATGCATGCACTCGTCACACCTTGACACAGCTCATCAACCTCTACAGGGTGTTTCATGTGCTGCTGCAAAGGTACACAGAGCTTGGTGCTCAGAGACGGAGGTGAGTCCAAACAAAAGTTGATAAGGCATAGTTCACTGATCTGTCTTGGTGCTTTTGAGGGGGCTGACATTAAGGAATAATGATAATCCTTAGTAATATTATAGAAGATAAAAGCTTAGTATTTTAGACAATAAAAACTATAAGGCCTTTTAAGCCTCATTTACTCATGCAAAGAGGGGAAGTTTCTTCTAAGCTAAATCCTGTGTAATTGGCATTTAAGAAGTTCTTAGCCTGCATATAAAGGGTCTCAAGATGCTTTCACTGATCCATCCCGCTGTCTTTGTGACTGTATGTTAGGTGCAATCCTCCTGTTCTGTTTCAGGTTGTCATTTCTGTGATAATGCTGACCTGCCTGTTATTTCAACCCTAAAAGCTGCTGAGGGATTTCTTTGGGCAGAGTGGTGGGCCTCCTTCATTAAGTACGAATAGTCCTACTTTGTGTCTCTTCCACAGGGTGGTTAATGTCACTCCAGTGCCTGGGGACCTGCTGCGTGAGAACACTGAGGATGTCCTGCAGGGTGAACATCTGAGTGATCAAGAGAATGCTCCTCCCATCCTGTCAGGCCGGCCAGCAGAAGGTCTTGGTCAGGCTCCAAACACTGCGTTCAATGAGGGGGAAGTGTGGGAAGAGACAGATGTGAATCGCAACAAACTCAGGATCAGCATCAGCAAAGTAAAGAACATCTCTTTACCTCCGGTGGCTGTCGGATTTAGGGAAGTGGATTCATAGACTGGATCCGCTGCATCCAGTGTAGTGCAGCCCATAAAGCACTGTAGAATTTCCTTGTGGAAACTGGAAATTACAAACAATTTTTCCACAAAGCCATTGGGATTAATTTGAATCTTCATACAAATTACATTTTGGGAGCCAATAATGCTGGAGCCAATCGTTTGTACAATCATTATGTCAGTATCTAGGATCTTGGTAACTGAAGAGGTGGAATTCTAGTCCTTGTGTAGCTGATACAATATCAGCAATGTCCCAGGTTTGGAAATTATAAACCAAGATTTTATTGTGTCCTAAGCTCTTGGTTAAATACATTTCATCAGAGATGTCTTCATAAGCTGTGTTTTTCTCCATTGTGAATCATTACTAATTTTTCTCTTCCAATTTTTAACTTTCTATTCTAAGGTTAGCACAATTTATAAAGAGCATCTGTTGGTGGCTTCACCCCATGAAGAGCCAGTGAAACTAACAATTTCTCATTCCAGGATCATATTAGACTTGTTAGCTTGGAGGAAGTACATATACTTCAGTTGGGTTTCCTCGCAATCCCTGCACTGTTTCTCAGTCGTTTCTTGTAAGCAGTACCTAATTTCTTGGAGGCATCCCCACTGAATGATGATTTCTTAACTAAATATTAAGTATGAGAATCTGCCAGTTAGTTTATTTATGAGATCATCTTACATATTGTAAGTAAATTAGTATTACTGTTAATCCTAATTCTGATTTTTAAAACTCAGGATGTCGCATGGCATGATATGAGGTAGAAACAGAGTCTGTCAACACAGAAACCTCACCAAACAGGCTTAAAATGTTATCAGGGTGTATCAGATGCACTTCACAAACCTGCCTTTAATGGGCTAGCATGTTAAATCTGCCAGACTTCTGTATCTGACAAGAATTTACTTTGGTCTCTACTGGCACAAAGTTAGTCCTTTCAGCCCTTTAGACATCTCCACTATCCTTAGTCTTATTAGAAAACATTACTCTGGACAAGAAATAACCTCATCTAACTTGCTTAAAATTTTCCAATGCAAATCACTCGGATCAAGATGTTCTCTGTATGGAACATTACCAGTGGCACCCCCCTCCCAGTTCTTCATCTCTATCAGGGGAACTGTGTGCATTCCCAGTTCTCATTTGAAGGCACATGTGATAAGAACAGTCTGGCAGAATGGAACAGTTCTGTTTCTCCAACATGCCCCCCCAAAAAATAGTATTATAGAGAAGCTGTAGTAACTCCTATGTGTTTTCCTGTTCTTTTGAGCCACCAGCTGCCTTGATGCTCTTCAGTCCAACTGAGGTGTTGACAAGGGAGTCCCAAATATCCTTTCTGCGTCCTAGTTGTACGTCATGGCTTAGGTACCAGGTGCTGTCATTCATAAGCCCTGTCATAACAACAGCTAGAGACGAGAGGCTTCTACAAGATTCACAGCATGACCAGGTGATTCTTCTGCCAAGAGATGCTTGTCAGTGTACTGGCAAAGAAGCTCAGGGAGTTAGTCAGTGTGGCAATGAGCACTTCAGTTCTGACAAGTTCTGTAGCCACGCAGCAGTCTGTGATACAGAGCCCAGGGCATCATGCTCTCCAAAGCTGAGGAAGTCTGTCCTTTCTCTCTGTAAGGGTTATCTTTAGTGTGACTGTTCTCTGAGAGAGAATCAGGTTTTACTTTTTATTCACAGCCACCACATGGAGAAAAAGAAGGAGGCTGCAGATTTGATCTGAAGGGGCAGAGCCTCACTGCTTGTGATCTCAGGCATCCCTTGTGTCTTTCAGGACTGCAGAGGCAGCTGGTGTGTAAAACACCCTTCTGCTGTTTACAGCTTAATCATCCTTCATCTTCCAGTCTTGTAGCACTAGAAGGAACTCTGTCTCTCCCTGTCTTGCTCTTTGTATTTAGGTGAGGAGTAGATCTTGCTATGTTTTTTCTCCCCAGTACCTCTCCAATGTCATCCTTATTTCTCTGTTCACACAGGTCAGATGTCCTCCTATCCCACTTCTCCCATTTCTCTGCTAAGGACAGTTTGTCCTTGCTTACTGTCACTGACCTCTCTGAAGTCCTCCTTCTGGTTCTCCTTTCTCCAGTGGATCAAAGTTCTCATTCTGTGTTTATCAGAAGCCTCTTCTTACCCTCCCCAATTCTCTGCTCTTGGATATTACCAAGTTGCCTGTTACTCAGTTACAGTTACATCAGCACTTTGCTCCTCTCACTAATACATTTGACCTTCATTAACCTTCTCCTGGCCTGAATGGGTTACAGATTAAATCATTGGCATCTGTTCTACTTTTCCTACAATGCCTGAAAGTCCTCCACCTTCCCTACCTGCAAAGGCTTTTTATGCATTCCAAGCCCAGCCTGGATGGTTTCAATCTCCTTGTTTATGGACACTGACTGACTTGCCATACACAGTATGTGTACAAAGGCAACTTGTCTTATCAGCAGCATTTTGCTGAGAAGCCTGCTTACATTCAGAGCCTCTGGCATTAATAGAGGACAAGTGAATGTAGGGCATGCTGCAGAGAAGGGTAAACACTCTCCACACTAGGAACTTGCACTGGCACCTCAATGCACATCCCCACCCAGGGGCAGTGTGCGGCTGTCATGTTCAGATAGCACAGCAGGGTTGAATGTAAATCCTAGACTGCTGCTGCAGCTCATGGACCATTCTGCCTCTATGCTTTTGCTTAAGCAGGTCTTCTCTTAAGGGGAAGCAGCACAGTGGAAGGCAGAAGGCAGCTGTGTTAGTCATCTACTTTTGCTCCTTAACCTATCAAATTCCCTAAGGCCATATGAAACCAGAAAGTATGTACTAGTAGAGTATGAACACACAATGCTCACAAGTGACCTCAAGCATGTTCAGGTCCCTGCATGACCTTGGGTCTGTGGAAAGCTCTTACAGACCTTATGGTTGAGCGTGTGTCCTGGAGGACTTTGTTTAGAGGACCAAGATTAAACAAAACCACAAAATCCCAAACCACCCTGGGAATTAAGGGATGCCCAAGTCATCTCAAGTTCATCAAAAGTGAAAGTATGTGCATTGCATTATAATGCATAGAGAAATATTGGCGAACCTGGGCTCTTAGGCATCTGGGATAACCAGGGTTTGTGTGTGAAGTAGGTAAGCCCATGAGAACACTTTGGATTGACTATACAGCATAACTGCAATGCAAAGGCTACTTTATAAAGATGTTTAAATATTTGAATGGATTTAAAATCCATACCTTGTTTAATACTGGATAATTGCCAGGGCCTATGGGCCCTTGCATTCCTTCAGTGTAGACTGTGAAAATGCAGCTTGGACCTGTATCCTAGAAGAAAGCACAGAGCAACAGCGAAGGATGGGAGGTAAATGTCCTTGGTCAGAGTTTGAGGTTGTCTGTGTTTACCCCCTACAGACTCAGTGCATGGTGGAAGAGGAGCAGAGAAACGGTGTCTGCCCCAGCTCCCCTGTCCGAGTGCCTCCGGAGTCCCCCACTGCCCAAGCGCGCTCCCTGCGGTACCGCCGTGTGAACAGCCCGGAGTCGGAACGCCTCTCCACTGCTGATGGCAAAGCAGATCCACATGAAAGAAGGTTTGCTTACCCTCTGTAGCCTCATGGCTTTTAGCAGTGTTGTGAGGAATGACTGTTGAGACCGACGCAGCTATTAGATCCAGGCACTCGAAGTTCATTTCCTGTGGGAGGTGTTCATGATCTTTCTGATGAAACACTCATGTCTCTTAATAAGGAGAGGTAGTGGGAATGATTCTTAATCTGTCCCTGGATGGGAAGACCTCCAGAGATGGAGGGGGCGACATCTGTCAAAGGGAAGGCAAAGCATCAGATCAGAGATAATCTGAATAGTCACAAAGCTTTTGGGTGGCCTGAGATGGGCAGGAAAACCAGATCTTAGGGTACATACAGGGACACATGTATTCTGGGAGCTAGCTGGCAGATCCTGATCTGGTGGGTTTCATTATTTCATTATTTTCCAGTAATAGTGCTAATGGTATTCATTCTTCAGCATACAGCATTGTACTTACTTGCATGTGAAAAGTACACATTACACCCAGGTTTTCAGGGTCATGGGAATGCTTTCTCTCAGATCCACAGCAAAGAAATGAAAAAGCAAGCTTAGCAAAAGCAGCTTTTAAAGTATTGTGTGTTGGAGAAGATGTGTTACAAGATAAAAGCATTTGGTGCTGGTAACTCCCTTCCCACCCTTTGTTACTCTGTCTTCCTCCTCCCATTGGAAGTCAGGGCATGGGCTGTGGTTGCAGGATGTACTGGTGAAATGGCCCCTGTAGAAGAGGTAGAGGAGAGACAGGTCTTCTTCTTGGAGACAGGCTGTCACACTTCAGCCAAGAGGAAAAGCCCCAAGGAGACAGTAGCTGGAAGTGAAGGAGGATCAAAAAGAACTAGAGAGAAGATGTGCTTCTAGCACTACCCCTGTCTGTTAGGTGGTGGTTTATCCTGCGTGGCTGTGGGAAGCTGTAATGCTTCTCTGTAATTCAGGAAAGATTGATTGTGTTGCTATTAATAATTTAGGGTTTAAATAATAAATCTTGGGTCTTGCTACCTCTTCCTTTTCTTGCTCAGAAGAAAGGCCATTTAAAATAGGAAGGGAAAAGAGCCATTTATAACAGTCAGTGACGCTAGTCCTCTATATTCACTGAATATATATATATATATTCACTGTATATACATATATATATGAATAGCTCTTAAGTCCTTCCTTTATTTCTCCCACTCTTCCTTGTCTACTCAGCATCATGCCAGCTTAATATAGAAAATGTGTGTTCTCCAAAACACATCCCTTTCTCCTGTGTTCTTCCTTTAGCTCCTGTTTTTAAAACCAAAATATTTTTTCATCCTCCAAGTAGCCTGCATCAAGCATGGTGCAAATACAGCCTCACTCTGCCACACAGCCTTCCTTTTACCCTGGTTTTGTCTTTTCACAACACAGACCTGAATCCCAGCACTGGGAAATTCTTCCACTCCAGGAGCCTCTCCTCTGCTGCAGCACAGGTGAAGACATTGGCTGAATCCAGAGTTTATTCATTACTTTTAGCAACAGCTCTTTAAAATCCAGTTCTGCACACACACAGAATAGGTCATTTTTCATTCTTTGCATATTTAGTGTTCTGTATTCACAATGATATATTTGTAAGACTTTAACAAATGCCCCGCTTCTTTCATATCTATCGGATGGCTTTGTTTTTACTTACAGCTTTCTCTGTATCACCCTTTGCTTCACCTCCTTGTCTAATTCCTCTTTCTTTATAACTAATATTTCCATATTTCTTGTAATTCTTTCCATCTCAGCTCTGGCCTTCCACATTGTTAAAGATGCCAGTTTTGCCTAGCAGCCCTCACCCAATGGTCCCTCACTTCCCTGCTGCCCCTCGTGCTTTCTCACACATGGAATTTTTTTTCCCAGAAGAGTCTGCAAGGCTCCTGTATGGTCCTGGTTGAAATCCTTTCATTAAGCACACTGCAACGGTCTTTTGCTGGGCAGCAGACACTGGTTTATGCAGCAAGCTGCTGGCCTCTGGGGTGGGGAAGTAAAGCAGGTACAGGCCAAATGAGAAGCATGGATCATGACACAGAGCAGAAGGACGAGTGCCTTAGTGGCCACTACAGAGACAACACAGTGCAGTTGAAGAGGTCATAGCAGGACAGCAGAGACACTGTTAAGTCAGACAGTAGATTTAGTATTTAGAATCATAGAATGGTTTGGGTTGGAAGGGACTGTAAAGTTCATCCAGTTCCAGTCCCCTGAAGTGGGCAGGGACCCCTTCCACTAGACCAGGTTGCTCCAAGCCCTGTCCAACCTGGCCTTGAACACTGCCAGGGATGGGGCAGCCACAGCTTCTGTCATCTGCAAGGAAGGGAGATGCCGAACTGGCTGCCATACTGAAGCATACCAGGAAACTTGTGATAAGGACTGTACAGCTCTTATGATCCCTGACTTTAACACAAACCCGATGTATTTTTAACGGCTTCATGTTCTGTCTTTAGATCTCGAATGGATTTACCTGGTTCTCCATCACGGCTTGTGTGCTCCTCCCAGCCAGCCCAGATGCTGTCCATTGATACTGGCCAGGCTGACCGGCAGGCAAGTGGTCGGATGGATGTGTCTGCTTCGGTGGAACATGAAGCCCTCAGCAATGCTTTCCGCTCAGTGCCACTTGCAGAGGAGGAGGACTTTGACAGCAAGGAGTGGGTTATCATAGATAAGGAGACAGAGCTGAAGGACTTCCACCCAGGTGCTGAGCCAAGCACCTCTGGGACCACAGATGAGGAGCCTGAGGAACTAAGGCCGATTGAAGATGGTGAGGAGAGAAGGCGCCTGGGGGCAGATGCTGCTGTCAGGCCGAAGACGCACGATGGGCGAAGTCGGGGTATGCAGCCTGTGACTGAGGAGGACAGTTCCCACAGACATGAAGGACCTTCTCAAACAGTATCTGACAGTAAACATGAACAGCAGACAGGAAGTCCAGCCCACTCCCCCCTACATTCAGCACCAGCTATCCGACAAAGGAGACGAGAATCTGAACCTACTGGTCCTCAGAGACAGGTAAGATCCCTGGGTCTGTATCTTGTTGCCTAGCATATCATCATCTTAGGAGGCCTCAGCTGTGCTGAAGAAGTCTGTGATACCAAGCATGGATGCTCTTGTGAAACTCTTCCTGACAGTGCTTGCAAATGTTGTGAACACCTTAAAGTGCTCCCTATAGCTAGTACTATTGTCCCCTACTGAGGACACGCTGTTACCAAGATCTTTAAGCCATTTTGGCACAGGGACAAGTGAAGAGCACTGTTGTGGTTGTGGATATCCTTAATCAGTTCTCTTATTGCTCTCCCACAGTGTTAATAACTGCTTAGTTCTATGGAGGTGTTGCTAGTAAATCTTCTCCACATAGTTTCTCATCAGCAACAGCATTGTGTGGCAAGAGAATGCCCTCTAATCTATATTGTCCATCAGCACTGGGCAGGCCTGCAGCAATGCAGATAACAAAAACTCCCTGAAATGAAACTTTCTTCTAAACACATAATAAAGCTCAGAGTAACCGGCACACACATCCCATCAACCTTACTTCAGTGACTGGCATTGCCATTACCAGGTATTTACTCACAGAAATGTTCTTGACCTACTGTCTTTTTTCCAGATAGTTGTAGAGGGCTTTTTTTCCTTCCAGCTTTGCCTTTTATCTTTCTCTTGTGGTCATCTGTGATATAAAGAAGTTCAGTTTTTAGTGGGAGGTAGTTTATTAGATTACCTGAAAAAACATGGTATACTTTTAGGTTCAGAGTTCCTCTATCGTACCTAATAGTCACTTGTCAGACATTCAGAAGAAGGCTGTCACAGAGTGTCCACTGCAAGAGACAATAGAATTGCTCTCCTGAGGGCTTTTTGTATTTGTATGTTAACAAAGATCTCTCATGCACATGGGATCCACAAGTGCAGCAAGGAGCAGGCGAGTCTCAGGTCATGTACAGGGTGATACCCATCTACAGCAGGCGTTTGTGCAGTCTGGAAGATAGGTAACTCCATCTCCCCTTCCCTGTTGTGCTTGCTAATGTGTATGAGGCTGCAGCATTTACAGGAAGGGTAGAAATACTGCCAGCAGCACTAGTGGGACTGGCCTGCAAAGCATGAAATAGTAGCAGTACATACTTCTCATGGAGACATGGAGACTGCATCCAGTGGCAAGGTTCCTAGGTGGAGGTGTTTGCTGTATAGTCAGTATGTTGGGTAACCCAGATATCTAGGGGTTGCATAGGCAAGATCAGAGATTTGGGAGGGTCTGTGTATGAATTTGCTCTGGACACTTATAATGCTGGTCAGTGCAAGATGATCTGCAAGATGCAGTGAACGTGGCAAGAACCATCTGTATGAATCAGCAGAGACGCTTCACTGACATATTTAGTGTAGCTGAAGTAGGCTGGAGGTGCCTTCTTGGCTATGGCACCTAACACTGCTGTGTGAACTGACTGGGGGAGTTGGATATGGTGCAGTAGGAAGGCTGCTTATCACTGCACAGGGATGTTTACAAATGAAGCAGAAAAAGGGGAATGAGTGGGACTGTGGGGCTCACTGCTAATACATTAGACAGCCTTGGTTCTCCAGCAGATGTGCATTTTGTAACTGCTGTGTTCTGAAATACCCTCTAGTTTCTCCTTCGTAGCTTTGTACGTACGGACCAGCAGTGGGCTTTTTTGGCTGGCTGGGATTTAGTTGTGCTTCTGTTGCTGTCGGGATCCTTCAGTTGCCTCTGTGTACACAGCTTTGCAGTGACGTTCATGGTTTTCCATTTGCTGCCACATAACTGGTCGCTGACTCTCAAAGGAAAAGTGACTTGGTGCCTACAGGAAAAGCAGAAGTCTTGGGTACAGCAGAGATGGAGGGGCAGTTGGTTGAGACATTAATAAGTTCATAGAATCGCAGAGTGGTTAGGGTTGGAAAGGACCTTAAGATCATTTGGTTCCAGCCCTTCTGCTTCTCTGGGCAACCTGTGCCAGGGCCTCAACTCCCTTGTAGTAAAGAATTCCTTCCTAAGATCTCATCTAAATCTCCCCTCTTCAGTTTAAACCATTCCCCCTTAAAGCCCTTCCCATCCCTGCAGGCCCTTGTCAAAAGCCCCTCTTTGGATTTCTTGTTGGCCCCTTCAAGCACTGGAAGCTGCTCTGAGATGTCCCCAGAGCTTTCTCTTCTCCAGGCTGAACAAGCCCAGCTCTCTCAGCCTGACTCCGTAGACATGTCTTCATATTTCCATGCTAACTGCTACCAGTCATCTTCTCCTTCATATGTTTGGAAATGGCTTCCCAGAGGATTTGCTCCATGGCCTTTCCAGCCTGCACAACCTGTAGTTCCCCAGGTTATCCTCCTGTGGAGCTCAGATGTTTGTTCAACTGAATGAACCTGTTGGAAGAAAGATATTGTAGTGCATGTGTGAGGGATGGCCGTGTCCTCTTGAAACTGTGGGTGTAAAAGGGAGCACAGAAGGATCAGATGCTGCTGTGGGCAAGTGAAGTGCAGAGGAGGCTCTGAGTAGCCTGGGGACATTTCTGACCCAAAGATTCTTACATCTTGGTTATCTCCCAGTTTAAATGGACAAGAAGGCAGCTCCATTGGAGCGTAGACTCCAAGGGAAGCCATGATATAGGAGAATAGGTCTGTTGTGAAACTATATCCTGTTCAAGCCCTTCTGTCTGTGCAGCACTGAGCACCCAGCAAGCTGTCAGAAAGCTCTTGGGATTTACTTCGATGTGTGTGTGTGTCAGGAATGTACTAATAAATCTCTGCTTGCTTTTATGCACTGACGTGCAGATAGAGCTATAGAAATAGCTAAAACTGAGGGGGAAAAGCAACTGAACCTGCACTTCTATTTGCATAGTCATCATGCCATAGGATTGCTGTTATTGATGGAAGTAATTTATAGCAATATCATTTAAGTCTGTCATGTTCTTAACGACACTGAGTAAATTCACTGACACTTGGCAGGAATGGCAACTTGCTGCTGTCTTCTCTGTTGGAAAGAAATATAAATCATCATACATTGATGAAGTTAGCAATTGCTTCTGACGGTAGGTTTGTGCTCACAGGTATTTCTTGACATAGGATCTCCCTTGCTGCTAGCGCAGCTGGCACTGTACAAAAGGGTTTGAGGCTTGCCTGCCTAAAACATGCCTGACCACAATAAAAACCACAAGTGATAGTGGGAGATGATATTAACTCTTCCTTACCTATTCTTGGATGTATTCTGCACAGTTCAGAGCATTTTACTGGGCACCGTGTCTTACAGTCCTCTCTACCAAAGCCAAGAATTCATCTTTTAGAAGAGGTCCCAGCGTGAAGAGGCACTGGTGTATTTCCTTACCAACTTAGCTGGGTAGTTAGAATCACTCTATGCAATCTCTCTTGGTGCTACATTAGCCTGTTTTCCCTCACAGCTAGGGAATGCCACAAATGGACTCACTGTTCTAATTTTCCATGTCTTGACCCTGAGATGGAGGCAGGTGGAACCACCCACCCCACCGTGGGTGTCTTTGCTGAGAGGTCACACAAGGATGCTCAGTGGGAAGACCTGTGTTGGTAAATACCCCTGTGGGTAAGACAAGAGGCAGGCAGCAGCACATTGCACAGGCTGCCTGGGTGAGCTTCACCTAGGAGCCAACTTAACCCAGAATCACTGGTTTCTGTGGAAAACTGTGCTTAGACCCTCACTGAGCCAAGAAAACATTCCCTGTTCTGGTGCTGAGCCCATGGGTGCCCCTGTGCTCTGAACCTTATTATTGTCTCATCTGAGGGATGCTATAGTCGTGGCGATGCCTGCTACCCTTGGGAGCAGTACAGCTCAACTAAATTCAGTCATTTCTAAAGCTCAAATTTAGATTCAGGTCAGGGAATGACAACTTCAGAGACCCCCGTGTGCTGTTCACTTCCTCCTTTGATTTGAGTTGGTGATGTTTATTCCTTTGGAAGGGACACAAGAGAGGACTGCCCCATGACAAGGACAGGGCTGTAGCGCTCTGTGCGTGATCTGTACTGCCTCTCTGATTCATGTGAAGCAGACACCTGGGTTGCCCTGGGTCTGTTACCTGCAGGAACTAAGTGTGATTTGGACTGAGGACTGAAAGGTGAGCAGGGCTTGGTCTAGGTTATAGTTTGGACCCTGGAGTAGTGATGAGGGAAATCCTTGTCAGTGCCCGAGTGCCTATAGACAGCAAGTGGGTAGGATAGGAACTACATTTTCTCTGGCTCTGAGGCAGAAGGAAGGAAAGCTGTGCTGAAATCATCAAGCAGTGGGTAGAAGCAAAGCACAGAAGGCTCTCAGATTTCTAACCCCAGGATTATAAACCTGAGAGAAGAGGTGGGCTGGGAAAGGAAGGCAGCAGGAAAGATGAGGTATGAAAAGGTGCTGTGTGTCTTGGTTTCCTTTCCCTCCTACAGCATCGTCTGTGAGCTGCTCTGAGGGACCATTTCTCGGTGGGCATTTCCATTTGCGGAAGAGGGGCAGGCTCATTGCCCCTCACTGGGTGTAATTCCCCTTGAGCTTCACATGGTGCCTGTTGCAGATAATGTGATTCTTTGACATTCAGCTCCTCTGGCTTCCCTCCATGTGAGAAGAGCTTGCCAGATGATGGAGAAAGGTGTATGTAGAGTGGCTTCTCTGCCTTACGTTCTTCAGATTCAAAGTCCCTGTCCATCCATGTGTTGGGAAAAAAGGATCAGCAAAAAAGTGCTATTTTAAAAGTATCATCAGGTCTGCTCATTTTATATGTTTCTGTATACACACATAGGTCATAACTATCAAAACCTTAAGCTCAGTAGAAATTCCTAATTCCATTTTATAACTTTCAAATGTATTGAGCTTTATCAGCATCACATTTTTCTGGCATTTCACGTGAGAGGTGTCCTGTCCAAACAGAACAGAATAGGCCTGATGGAAGGTGGTCCAGCCTGATTGCTGCTAACAGCATGGGGATAAAGGGCCAGCATCTCCAGCACTGGCTGTAATTTAAGCATTAGGGCATCAGTGAAGATAAGTGGTATGTCTGTAACCTCAGCTTTAG